CAGGGCATGTGAGCAAAAGAACATTCCTTCATCAATTCCAAAGGGTGATCAATGGAACATCCTTTAAAAAATAGGCATAGAGGCTTTGTGAGGTCATAAATTATAAAGCCCCGCTCCCCATTCCTTGCTTTCTTCTGGGTTCACTCCAGGGCTTTTGGCATTAGGCAAATCCTGTAACGCTCCAAGAATGCAAGAATAAATGTGGATTAGCTAAACAGAAAGCCAGTACAATCCAAACATTAACACTAGTTCAAGTAACACAAGGCAGGGGCCTGCTCTGTGTCCCACTTTCCTCCAGAATCCCTGGGGGAACTTTTCCACCATTCCAGGACTGTTAGGTTCTGTCTACACTTAGCTTTTTTCTTCATTGCTCTTGTTTATCCCGTGAATTGGACTAAAAAATCAGCATCAACACCTTGTACTGATACTTCCTGTTATGGATCGCCACAACCTGCTTATCTGTCAAGTTTAATGGTTCTTTCCATTTTGGATTGATATAAAGAGTCTCTTGGGAGAAACAAGAATTTTAAGACATTTAAATATTTCCTGTGACAATTGAACTAGGATTGATCGGATGACTCAGACAGACCCAAAGAGAAACGATGATTGCATGGGGGTGCGGCTACTGCTCTGACTTGTTCTCTGCCTTGCTTTTAAAAGCATCCCTTTGCTACAGATTGATTTCTCATGCAGACAAACCATTCCCGTGAGAGGGCAAAGCCTTTGAAAGTGCTGCTGCTGCAGCAGCCTTGTGTCCCATCGTATTTCTAAGCACCGGCTCATAATTGATTTCAGCGTCCTTGTGGCAAATGACTTAGCAGAAGCATGAAATGTCCTATCATCGTGATCGAAAACCTGGCTGGATGCCACAAAGACCTTAACCCCAGATTACACTGTGTCACTCAGTGGCAAGGAATTCTGCACATGCGCCAAGGCATCTTCTCCCATGCTCTTCACTTCTCTGGGTATCAAATCACCCCATTTATTCCCTAGGACGCCTGCTTTCCTCAGAGGCTCTGAACTGGGATTCCAGTTGTGTACACGGAGCCAGACCAAGGCTGGAGATTTCACAAGAGGCACTATGCCAATCTGGGTCAGTGGTTATCTATATCGTGCACCTACTGCACCAACAACCAGCGGCTCGGCAGGGCTCCTTGATACCCGCTTCTCTGCAGCTGCCTTTGGTGCCCCCCACTCCACATTCTGCTTCTGCATTTTTCTAATCCTCCTGTCAGCAGCTGCCTTGCTCGCAGGAATGAAGAGAATAGGGGGACTTGATGCGGCCGAGGCTCAAAGGTAATGGGAGGGGATGGTAGGTGGCCAAGCAAGTGCCAGCATGACCTGCTCCCAGGCTGCAACTCCCAGGAACGTAGAAAAGCTGCATACTGGGAATTTTGTGAGAAAGTTAACCTTTTTGACAGGATTAAGTTTATAGTCCATATGGCTGCAATGTCACACTGCAGAGCTGATGGCCAAGTAAGATTTCCATGGGCTGGCAAGTGTGCGTGGGGTAGTTTCCGTGCCTCGCATAGCTCAGTGGCTGCAAAACCAGGATAAGACCTGCGAAGTGGTGAACGCCACACCCAGTTCTGGGGGCCACACTTTCAGAAGGGCACGGAGGAACTGAATCAGTCCAGAGGAAACTGGTGCTCTGCGAAGAACTGGGTCTATTTAGCCTGGAGGAGTCAAGTCTGAGAAGTGCCATCACACAACATCTTATTAAAAAAAATTGCCGGGGTGCTGAGGCCTTCCAGGAGCAGCTGGTCGGTCCTTTGCTAGAGCAGGGGGCCATCCGCCTGATGTACCTACGAAACTGTGCGAGCGAGTTTGTCATGGAGAATTTATGCAGGCTGTAGAGACCAGGTGCCAATCTCAAACCTTCCACATGCTCACAGGCAGCCCTGCCTGCCTCCCTGAAAAAAACACAGGAACTGCATAGGAAGTCTGAGCTGCCCCTTCCTAGACTCACAGAAGAGTCAAGTTGGAAGGGGCTATGGAGGCCGTCAGGTCCAGCCCCCTCCTGAGCACTGGGCAGCAGGCCCTGTGCTCGTGAAAAGCGAGAAACGAAATAGTTAGGAGCAGGGTTGCCTGCTGTTCTGGAGCAAAACAGAAAATAAAAAAGTGACCCAGTGGCGCATTTTGATGGGGTGGAGGCAAGCCCTGGCATCTTCTTCCAAGAAAGTGATACCACCTTTTGTCCAGGTAGAGCTGTGGCTGAAAAGGCACCGGAGCCTTTGTATTCAGATGGGTCTGCTCACGAGTAGGCTGCCCACGCTGGATCGCATCTGGGCCGGCCCCAAGCAGAGGTGCAGCACAAAGGCAAAGGGTCAGCCGGCAGTGCTGGGAAAGGGCTCGCCCTCTGAACGGTCGGCTGCTCTGCTCTGCTTCCCAAGGGCCTCTTCCGCTCAATCCCACAGCAGGCGTGCCTCTGGGGAAAGGCAGCCTGGCATAATTAGCAGTTTGCTTTCCTTGCAGGCAGCACGGCAATGAGCACACGCAGCCAGATGAGGCTGCCGTACTGGCTGCTCGTTGTGGGGGAAGGCGCATCATGCCGGGTTTCTGTCCGAAGTGCATCACTGGAGGGATCTACAGTGCCAGCAGAACAGATCCACTGCCTCGCCTCGCCCTCCTGGCCACCACGAGAATCGTGTGTTCCAAAGACATTTCAAACAAAGGATGGTCAGTTTGCCGACAAGCTTCAGCTACTCTGCCTAGCTAAAATTATATGTCATCTAAGACAGACAGACAGACAGACAGACAGACATGCAGTTTGGAAATGGCTTCTCTCCAGCTGTATCCATGCAGATTACAGGATGCATTGCCCACACCCTTTTTTAAAAATATGTTCTTGGAAGAAAACAAGCCACACCAGGGTGAAGCTTTCACAACGAGAGATCCAGCACATGCGATCCCAATCATTTTCTCGACCTCCTGCTTGAACGCTGCCTGGCCAATTTCTCCTCCCACCTGCTCCCTTGTGGGAGGTTAGAAAGCACTAAGGAATTTGAGGGGCTGCTGCGGACGCTGCCACGAAATGGCTCCCGTGGAGGAAGTGACCAGCCGCAGCATCGCTGCAACGGGAGCGGCTAGTCAAAGGATGTGGGTGGGGGCCAAGCAGTGACCCTAGAGACTGGGCGGGAGGGGGCACAGCCAGGCAGAAGGCAGACGGGAACAAGCAGGGTTAGGAGTTGTGTGGGGAGACACGACGCTGGAGGTGGGGAGTGGAGAGAAAGGGCACAATGAGGAGACAAGGGAGGAGAAAGAGTGAGGCTAGGATGAGCAGAGGGGAGAACCCATGAAGGAGGGGGCCGGTGGCACGGCAAGGGCTGCGCTGGGGAGCAAGAGCCTGTCCGGGAGACAGCAGGGCCAGGAAGATGCTCTTCCCTTCCTGCTCGCTGAGCAGCGACTGGTGGCAAGCTCAAGGACAGCAAGGAGGACTTGGAACCCGAATCTTTTTCATGCTTCATATTATTAAAAATGAAGGGGGTGGGGGCCTCCAACAATGCTTTGCAGGCACTTTGGGAGGTCCCAGTGGCCTCTGTGGTCATGGCATTAAAGACCCCTGCCCAGAATGTCCCCTTCCAATTCTCTGAAGAGCGAGTCAGGCACAAAGGCCTTGGAAGGGGCCCCACTGGTCAGTCGGAGGCTGAGGGCACGCAAGTGCTCCTGCATTCACACAAGCAGCTCCTCCGCCTTTCCTTGAAAACTGCTCAGGCTGAGCCATTCACAGCCGGGCGCCTGCCCTCGCCCTCTGCAGAGGCGGCTGGCTGTGCTGCTGAAGGTGGCCAGACGTGTCGGACCGGAGCAGCCATCGCAGCTACCCCAGGGCCTGCAGACACCAGTGCCACAGCCCGGCACACGGGGAGGCGTGAGGGTGGGAAGCCCGGTCTCTCAGATGGCAAGCAGGCTCACGGGCTGATCCAGCCACGGCAGCGTCGGCCGCACCAGTGCAGGAAAAGGCACTGGCCGGGCCCTGTCAGGCGGACACCAGGCCGCGCGCGTGGGCAACAGCGCCCCACGCCAGGTCGCCCGTCCCCGTGACATGTCCTGCGCCCCAGGTGGCACGAGCTGCACCTCCCACAGGTCGCACCAAAGGCCTCCCCAACTGCCTGTGGAGCCGGAGCCCGGGACCCCCCTGCGCGAACCGCAAAGCCATGCCGGTGCCCACCTGCCCCCCCTCCTTGGCTGTCCTCGCGGGCAGCTATGGGAGGAGGAGTGTGGGAGAGACGGCCTGGTCGGCGCGACAGAGGTGCTGCTCCAGGGCCCAGGAGGGCAGAGTGCCGTGCCACAGTGGGAGCGAAGCAGCATCTGATGCTGGGGAGACCCGGGCTCCAGTCAGCGACCCCGAAGCCCCCTGGCTGACCTTCCATCAGGCTCGCCCCTAGCCTTGCCTACCACACAGGGTATTTGGAAGGCTAACATCAGGCACAAGGCAAGTGGGACAGACAGACAGGTGGACTTGTCCAAAACCACAGGAACAAGAGCTGGCTGAAAAGAGCTTGCCGTTTCCAGCATCCAACCTTTATCACTATGTATGAAAGGTCTGGACAGTCCAATAGCCAAAGCTCTCTGGGCAGTTCCTGCCTGGATTACAGTGGGGGACTTTCTGCTGGCTGGCCCAGCTGGGCTCCCCATCTGGCCTGCCGCTCTGTGCCCAGGCCCACCTGGCGGGGAAAAGTACTCGCTTCTCAGCAGCAGCCTGCCAGGGATGAGCGCGTTTCCCTGCAGCAAAGCAGGTGGAGCCAAGGGAAGGGGCTGCTGACCAATCCATTTCTGCTTGCCTCCAAGTTCGAGCGAAGTGGACAGATGAACGTTCTGGTCCCACCCGCGCTGCACCGGGCCGTGCACACAGATGGAAACGGCTGGTTTGGAATTGGATTTTCACCCTTACTCTGAAAAAGATGCTCCTCCTCATGAATTTCCTCCTTTGTGCATGTCACTCTCTCCCAGAAAAGGGCTATTTGCTCCTTCCTAATCACGACAGCAGAAAACCTCAGTGATCAACATGCAAGAGCCGAGGAGGGATTTTATTCAAGCCCGGGACAGACTGCAGCTTCACTTATCCCACAAGCAACCCGTGCCAGGAAGCGAGCGCAAGACAGTCGGAGCCAGTGGGCTCCCCCACAGCTGTGGGCAGCAGCAGTTCAGGGGTTGGTCTCCGGCTTGCCACTGTGGTAGTCTGGCGGGGTGTATTTCCCTTCCTTCATCAGCTTCTTCTTCTGTGCAAGGATAGTCTTCATACGCTGTATCTGCCAAAGGGAAAGGAAGAGAAGAATTGTGAAGCTGTCTTCTGCATTAAAACCTGCCCCATTCTGCTATTCAGAGAACAGAAATGAGCCACGTTCCCGTCATGGAAGGCGCTGACTCCATTCTTCCACTGGTAACCTGGAACCCACACACAGACTGTGGGTCACACTGGTGGGACATCCCATTCAGAGAAGGAAAACTGGCAGTGGGGCGTGGGGGGAGAGACCAAGTCAAGACGGAGTTCTTATTCCCAGTGCTTAGCAAAGGAAACTTTTCTCACCCCCACATGAAAAGATGCATCAACCAATACTCCCCCTGCCACACAATCAGAAACATAGAAGCTCCACTATCATAGAATCATACTAAAATAGGATCCAGGGGGCCCAATCCACTGCGGGACTCCAAGTTAAAGCATCCCTCTCAGATGGCTGCCCAGCTGCATCTTCAATACTTCTAGTGTGCAAACACCCACAAACTCCCTAGGCGATTGTTTCTGTTTTCGTACCACTCTAATAGTTAGCAAGATTCTCCTGATATCAAGTTGGAATCTGGCTTCCTACAACTTGAGCTCCTTATTCCATGTCCTGCACTCTGGGATGATAGAGAAGAGATCCTGGCCTTCCTTTTTGTAACTAGTATTGTACACTACGATTCTATTTCCCCTCATTCTCTTCTCGCGGCTAAACATGCCCCATCCTTTCAATCTCTCCTCATAGGGCTTTGTTTCCAGTCTCCAGATCATCCTTCCTGCCCTCCTCTGAAGCCTCATAGAATCAAAGACTAGCAGAGTCAGAAGGGGCCATGAAGGCCATCAGGTCCAACCCCCTGCTGTTGCACGACACCAGCCTACACCATCTCACGCAGATGGCTGTCCAGTATCTTTTGGAATCTCTCTAGTCTGGGAGAGCTGACGACCTCTCCAGGCAGCTGGTTCCACTGTTGCATTGCTCTGACAGTGAGGAAGGTTTTCCTGATAACTAGCCTGAATCTGGGTTGTTGCAGCTTGAACTGATTATTCTGATACATTCTGGTATCGGCAAGGAGAGAGCTTGACCTTCCTCGTGACAGTCTTTGAGGGTCTTATAGAATGATATCATGTCCCCCTCAGTCTTCTCTTCTCGAGGCTGAACATGTCCAGTTCTCTCAGTCTCTCCTTACAGGGCAGTGTTTCCAAACCTTGGATCATTTCTGTTGCCCTCCGCTGGACCCTTTCCAATTTTTCTGCACCTTTCTTAAATCTTGGTGCCCAGAACTGAACACAGTGCTGCAGAAGAGGCCTGACCAGTTCTGAATAAAGAGGTTCCCTGATGTACAGTGTATCACAGAAGTGAGTATACCCCTCACATTTTGCAAATGCTGGTTATCACCTACAAAGCCCTTAACGGCTTGGGACCGGGATACCTGAAGGAACACCTGCTTCCTTACTTGCCCTCCTGCCCCCGAGATCGGCAGCAGAGGCCCTCCTCCGGGAACCCTCCATGAAAGATATTAGTGGGCAAAGTACCCGGAGGAGGACTTTCTCTGCGGTGGCGCCCCATCTGTGGAATGCACTCCCCAGAGAGGTCCGCCTGGCGCCGTCATTTGTTTTTCGGCGCCAGGTTAAGACCTTTTTATTCCAACAGTATTTTAATAACTTTTAATATTGGGTTATATATGTTTTTAATCTGCAGCCAGGGTGGATCTGAAATTCATTTGTATTATGTTTTATATTATTCTTATTTATGGAAGTCGTCCTGAGGCCTTCGCGACAGGACAGCATATAAATATGCCAAATAAATAAATAAATAAACAAATCTTTTCATGTGACAACCCTGAAGAAATGACACTTTGCTACAATACAAAGTAGTGAGTATACAGCTTGTATAACAATGTAAATTTGCTGTCCCCTCAAAATAACTCAACACATAGCCATTAATGTCTAAACTGCTGGCAACAAAAGTAAGTACACCCCTAAGTGAAACTGTCCAAATTGGGCCCAAAGTGTCAATATTTTGTGTGGCCACCGTTATTTTCCAGCACTGCCTTAACCCTCTTGGGCATGGAGTTCACCAGAGCTTCACAGGCTGCCACTGGAGTCCTCTTCCACTCCTCCATGACGACATCACGGAGCTGGTGGATGTTAGACTGCGCTCCTCCAACTTCCATTTCAGGATGCCCCACGGATGCTCGAAAGGGTTTAGGTCTGGAGACATGCTTGGCCAGTTCATCACCTTTACCCTCAGCTTCTTTAGCAAGGCAGTGGTCGTCTTGGAGGTGTTTGGGGTTGTTATGTTGGAATACTGCCCTGCAGCCCAGTCTCCGAAGGGAGGGGATCGTGCTCTGCTTCAGTATGTCACAGGACATGTTGGCATTCATGGTTCCCTCAATGAACTGTAGCTCCCCAGGGCCGGCAGCACTCATGCAGCCCCAGACCATGATAGTCCCACCACCATGCTTGACTGTAGGCAAGACACACTTGTCTTTGTACTCCTCACCTGGTTGTTGCCACACATGCTTGACACCATCTGAACCAAATAAGTTTATCTTGGTCTCATCAGGCCACAGGACATGGTTCCACTAATCCATGTCCTTAGTCTGCTTGTCTTCAGCAAACTGTTTGCGGGCTTTCTTGTGCATCATCTTTAGACGGGGCTTCCTTCTGGGACGACAGCCCTGCAGACCAATTTGATGCCGTGTGCGGTGTATGGTCTGAGCTCTGACAGGCTGACCCACCACCCCTTCAACCACTGCAGCAATGCTGGCAGCACTCATACGTCTATTTCCCAAAGCCAACCTCTGGATATGACGCTGAGCACGTGCACTCAACTTCTTTGGTCGACCATGGCGAGGCCTGTTCTGAGTGGAGCCTGTCCTGCTAAACTGCTGTATGGTCTTGGCCACCATGCTGCCGCTCAGTTTCAGGGTCTTGGCAATCTTCTTATAGCCTAGGCCATCTTTCTGTAGAGCAACAATTCTTTTTTTCAGATCCTCAGAGAGTTCACCGTGAGGTGCCATGTTAAACTTCCAGTGACCAGTATGAGAGAGTGAGAGCGATAACACTAAATTTAACACACCTGCTCCCCATTCACACCTGAGACCTTGTAACACTAATGAGTCACATGACACTGGGGAGGGAAAATGGCTAATAATGCCCAGTTTGGACAGTTACACTTAGGGGTGTACTCACTTTTGTTGCCAGCGGTTTAGACATTAATGGCTATGTGTTGAGTTACTTTGAGGGGACAGCAAATTTAGTTATACAAGCTGTATACTCACTACTTTACATTGTAGCAAAGTGTCATTTCTTCAGGGTTGTCACATGAAAAGATATAATATTTACAAAATGTGAGGGGTGTACTCACTTCTGTGATATACTGTATGCCTAGTATGTCACATGATTTGGAAGTGACGCTTCTGTTAATGCCGCCCAAAACAGCATTTGCCTTTTTTGCAGCCAGATTGCACTGTTGACTCATAGTCAGCTTGTGATTGACAACAATTCCAAGAGCCTTTCGACTTGCCATATTGTTCCCTATCCTGTAACAATGCCCTTGGTGTCTTTTTCCTAGGTGGGGAACTTGGCATTTGTCCCTACTTCATTTCATTCTGCTGTTTGCAGCCCAGCACTCCAACCCTGAATCTTCTTTTTGTCCTCTGGGATATTATCCCTCCTTTGCATCAGACCACCATGGGAAGGGACAGAGAAAAGTGGGGCAAGTTATCAAAAAGATGCCTTCATGTTGCAGTCTGGGGAGAAAAGCTGCTCCTAGGACCGTTACATAATGCAAGTCAAAGGGCCTGCATCTGTTGGCTGTACAGATAAGGAGAGGGTCCTGCACAGAGCAGCCTTTGCTTCAGGACTGCCAATTTCTCCTTGCCACAAACCATGTAAGTTTGCCAGGCTCCCGAGGAGCCTGCTCAACTGACCAAGATCCGTTCTCTCTCCACTACAGAAACCGCAGAAACTGAGCCATGGAAGGCCTGTTTTGATTGCAGGAGACAGGGGGCAGGGGAAACAACCACTTCGCTGCAGCAGCACCTGGCACACAAGGAAAACAAAAAGTGCTGAGGACACATTTTAGTGCCCTCCACTTTTCTGCCACTTCCCCAAGTTTTCAGCTATTCCAGAAAGGGGAAACAGTGACTCCCTCTGCTCTTGGCTCCTTTTTGAAGCTCTTACTGCTGCAGCTACTATAAGGAAAAAAATATGCCATCAATCTCACCATTACACCCAATGAATGAACTAGAGGGGTTTCCATTAAATTTAAGGGTAAAATTAAACAAATAGGTCAATTAAAAGATTAAAGAAAATGAATAAAATGGAGAGATAAAAGCAATATTGCATAAGAAGAAAATAACTTGGTATAATGTGCTTCAACTAGAAAGTTGCACTAGAGAATACATAAGGAAAGGGGTAGATGTACGGAGTACACAAAATTTGAAGATAAGATTATAGAAAAGGAAAAGCAAGAGAATATGCAGATGAAAGGGATAGTAAGTAAAATTGATAAGATACTATTAGAGGAACAAGATCAGTATGATTCACTTAAAGCAACATGGGAAACAGATTTGAGAAAGAACATCAATAATGAAGACTAGGGAAATCTTTGGACAAAGATGATACTAAAGTGTATGTCAGTAAGATTAAAGGAAAGTTTTTACAAGATTGCATAATAGTGGCATCTAATTCTGGTGAAGTTGAATTGTATAGATAATACTTGAATTTATGTTGGTGTGATCATGAAGTGGATACATATTTATATATGTGGTAGGAATGTGAATATATAATAAAATTTTGGCAAGGGGTTTTAAAGAGTGTAGTAAAATATTAAATTTAAAGAGATCTATGCCCCGGAATTGCATTACACTCAGTATTTGATAAAAATGGGGCTGGAATAATAAGGAATAACAAATTTAATAACTGCAGCAAGATTAATTATAGCTAAGAATTGGAAAGTAAAATATGTTACCAATTGTCTGATTGGTATAGAGAAGTTTGGAATATAGCTATTAATGACAAATTAAAATGTGAGATTAAAGTGAGAAAAGAGCATATGAAGAAAAATAAGTTTAATGAGATTTGGGGTATATTTATTGACTATGTTTTTCAAAAAGTGGAAAGGATTCGAGCCTTCAAAAGAATCATTGAAGTTTTGGAAGAGGGGGAACATCCTGAAATGTTTGAACGAGAAGTGCCATTTTGGTATCAGTAAAAGAGCAAGTCACAAAAAGTGGATGGCAGGGGTTTTGCCACTCTCACAAGGCGGCTCTGCAGCGGCTCCCAATCACAAACAACAAAGTGGCCCTGTTGGGTCCAGACAACACAACAAACCATTGTGGACAAGAACAGCCCTAAAACAAGTCGAACCTTCTATGTTGCTTGTTCAAGCACCAGTGAGGCACGGTAGTTAAGAGTGGGGACTTGGGAGATCTGGATTCCAGTTCCCATGCAGTCATGAAACTCACTGGGTGATCTTGGACACTCAGCCTAACCAACTTCACAGGGTGGTTGCAGGGAGGATATCACGGAAAGGAGCTGCCTTGGGTTTCTTGTAAGAAGTGTGGTTGCATATACGTGTACAGCAGTAATAGCAATAGTGAAAAAGAAGCCATCCTGCAGAAACTGTTTCGAGTTTAATGACATGGCAATGCATGCTGGCTTGTTACCCATGATGTGTTGTGCCATGCAAGCAGGTCAGTGTCTTGAACAATGAACTTCACACAGAACAGGCTGGAGAACCTGTGAACTGCCACTTCCCTCTTCCCTCACCACTGTGCAGCCAGCTGGAGCTGAAGGCAGCGGCAGTCCAGCAGCTGCTGGAGCATTACAGGCTCCCCAGCCCTGATCCAGAATAAAGGCGGGCTCCCTACCCTGCGCCACCCACTTGTATTGGAGCCTGGTGACAAATCAGTTCACTACCTCCACAGGCTGAGAGCAGAAGATGAGCAGTGGCTCTACAGAAGAAAAGAAAGCGCCTTCTGCATTTGAAATGAGCTCTCTACCAAACTATGGCCAGATAAGAAGAACCAGCTACTCTTCTAGTCCCCCCACAATATCTGCACGATTGCTTTAAGCATCCCACTGGAAGTGGCATTAAGCTGTGATGGGATCCCCAAGTCAGAGCCGATCATTGCAACTGAATGTGCATAAGAACTTGTTTTCTCTGACACAAAAGCTCGGAAGGCATGAGTAAAACGGCAGTCTAGCGTCTCTTCTTCCTCTCACCATTTTTTGCTTGTTCACACATTCATAAAGGTCCTCCTTCTCCTGTACGCACTCCCGGTTTGCACGTGCCAGCCCAATGCCATCGGCACACTCCAGCCACTCCTTTTCAAAGGCATGGCACGCAGCAGCGTGCTTGTTGGGCTGGGAGGCACTCTGGATGAGCAGCCATCTATCAAAGTTGATTCCCAGCTTGTCCTGAAGATCAAGAAGAGGCATGGCTGAGGAGAGAGGTGTCAAGAAAAGGAATCAGAACCTGCACAACAAGGCATGCAACAGAAGAGGCAAAATCACAAGAATATTCCGCATTCATCCAATTCAGTTTGCCCAAACCCAACATACATCCCTTGCACATATTAATTGCAAGTTTGTGCACTTTTTCTTCCCTGACTAGTTAATGCTAGCCAAATGAAAGGAGACTATATATAAATCTAGACAAAATTTTAAGACACTTAAACTTTTTTTTTTAAACTATGGTATTGATGGTTGCTATGGTCAAACATTTCCTCCACCCCTGCTCTCTTATTTCTACAACCAGAAAGAAACTATTTAGATGACCTCTTGCTCTTGGTACCCTGATGCTCATCTTCAACTGGAATTACCAAATCTAAGGCCACAGCCCTTGTGAATGGCACAAAGAACATGGTGCTGGTGTTGGACTAGGGGAAGAGACACGCAGATTCTAGTCCCCATGAACGGCCTCTCCGCCTGGCCTGCCTTGCGGAGTTGCACTGAGCATAAAAGAGACGGGGTCCAAGAAGCCACCTTGGACGCCTTGAAAAGAAGTGCAACTGCAACATTAATGTCATCCAGATTCCTGGATGCTAGAGCTCGGCGCGCTTGCCAAAACACGAGTCAGGCGTTCAGATGCTCGACCCAGTGGAGGAGGGGCAGCGCCGCGCCTGCCGCGCTTGGGCGGGGAGCAAGCCGGGACCGTCCTTCGGGACCCCGCTGCGTCGCGAAGCCGCCGGCGGGGACCTAGCAGTGCTGCCCCCCGACTCCCGCACCCATGCCCCGCCGGTCCACCCACCTCCTCGACCGCCGCCGCCCGTCCGCCCTTTCCCGAACGTGCGACACCGCTGCCGTCAAGCGCCGGCACTTTTACGACGTCCCGCCCCTGCGCCTGTCGCGGCGCCCGTAAAGTGCTCATGCGGCACAGAACTGCGCATTCTTTTAGAATCGCCTCGTCGCCGTCGACGGACAACTTCCGGGCTTCGCTTGGATCATCCCTTTGGACCTCCTCCGGGAGGTGAAGCGAGGGCGGCCGCAGAGGCCGAGGCGGACCCGCCACTCTTTCCGTGGTCTGGCAGGGGCAAGCTTTTAGGCAACTTGTCATAAGTCGCTTGAGGTCCGTGCAGCTCTTCCAGCACCGGCACCCTGGTTTCGGTGGAAAGAATGAACACGGAGCATGGGCGCTTCACTTGGCGGGAGAGTCTGAATGCCTGGCGCGTTCCTTGCCCAGGCCAGGCCAGGCCAGGCCAGGCCAGGCCAGGCCAGGCGCGGCGCTCCCTTCGGCAGCTCACCAAGGCGTCTGCACCAGCCTCAAGGGCAACCCCAGCAGAGACCGTGGCAGGATCGCAGGCTCGAGCGCCGCCGGTGCACGGCCACAGTGGTCTAGCGCCGCTGCCCCGGAGAGGGCGAGGCTGCACACCCAGCCACTGTTGGTCCGAGGCGCTCTGTGCTGCAGAAGCGCTGGGACGCAACAGCAGTGCAAGTGCGGGGGCAGGCCTAGCTCGCCCTCGCTGGTGAGCAGGCAGGGAGCTCCCGCGAAAGCATCCCCCTTGCAGGTGCAGCATGTCGTGGGCGGCAGGAGCAGGAGCAGAAGCAGAAGCAGACGGGGCGGGTGGGGCCGCTTGGCACGGGGGGCTGTCCGGGGTGTTAAACGCTGGCTTGTTTAGGCCTCCCTGAGTGTCAGGGCTGGCATGGGAATGGAGGAAGAGTTCCGGGGCAGGAGGGCCAGCTTAGCTCTCCCCCCACATCCCACTTGAGGGGCCCGTGCCTCTGGGAAGCCCCTCCAGCAGGGCATGAGAAAAACATGAGAAAAGCCCTGCTGGATCAGGCCCACGGCCCAGCCAGTCCAGCATTCCCTGCACACAGGGCAAACAGGATCCCCAGAGTAGGGCGGGTGAAAGCCCTGCTCCTACCCAAGCTCCTCAGCAAGTGGTATGCGCAGGCAGGCCGCCTCTGGCAAAGCAGGGAACACGTGGCCGGCAAGGCCAGTGGCCGCAGAGAACCTCCTCCCTCAGGAACTGTCCAGTCCCTTTGGCCACCACCACTTCCTGTGGCAGCAAACTACACCCTTCATGCTGTGTGGTGCTTTCGTTCACCTGCTCTAAACCTCCCACCAGCTGGCTTCATGAGATGGCCCTGGGTTCAAGTGTGATGCGAGAGGTAGGAAAATCCCTCCTGCTCCACTTTCTCCACACCGTGCATTATCTGAACACCTCTCTCATCTCTCCCCTTCCCACCCTTTCTCTACTTCATGGGTCCCCAAACTATGGCCCACCATGCCCATTTATCTGGTCGGCCTCAGAGGTTTTGGACTCGCTGCGTGCTCGCCTGCCGTCATCCCGCCGCACATGCTTGCTCACATGGAGATCGTTTTGGACTCGCTCAGAGAAAGCAATCTCCAAGCAAGCAAGCAAGCCGCTGCCTTGGCGCCCGCCCCGTCCCCTCACCGGCTGGCCCACGCCCCCCACCAGCACCTTTCAGCTGGCCCCGTTGAAAAAGTTTGAGGCCCCTGCTCTACTTGGACGGTCCCAGTTGCAGCAGCTCCTCACAGGCAGCCCTCCGGTGGTGCCTGTTGCCCTTGACGTTCGTGTCTGCCGTGTAACTGTTAAAGCACCCAACCCTCAGGCCAGCGTCCAACTCTAGCCCACCAGGGGCCTGCATAAGGCCCCCTTCCCTAAGGCTTAGTTACCGACAGTAGAGGGCTTTACATTAAAGTACATCTGAGGGGTTGCACTTGGCCGCACACCCTTGTGACGCCAGCCTTGGGCCACTGGCATTGGCCCTGCGTGAGCGGGGTTCCCCGGTGTCCCTCAGAAATCGGACCTGGCCCTTCCTGGCATGGCCGCAGTTCGGCATCCCTGGCTCAGTCCTTTGGCCTTTTGATGCAAAGAGGCCTTCTTGGCTGACTTTTCCTTCCTGCAGTGCCTTCCTCTTGAAGGAAGTAACTCAGTGATTGAGAAACAGAGAAGCCAATAACCAAGTCATAAAGCCTGTCTTAAGGAATGTGGAGGGGAGAAAAAGATAATTGGCTCAAAAGAAAGTGTGCTACTTCCGATCTCACCCCCCCCCCAGTAGTTTTATGAGATGGGGTCCTAGGGTGAAGTTAGAGAGGAGTGAACTAGTGAACCTGTAGTTATAGGTAAGCAGGCATAATAGGTTAATAATTATTACCTCACACACTTTGAATAAACAGTGGGCTAATTATAATGCACATGTGATGCATGTAGACATATGTAATGTCATGAGATGGGAGATACGTAGTAGGTGGACAGAAAGACTGTAACCTCCTAGTACCTTATCCAGTGAGGGAAAAGGGGAGAGCTGTGGCGGAGGGACTGAGGAGTAAAAGCGCTGCTTTGTGTGTGTGTGTTTTGGAGAGATTCTGGTAGAGCAGGGCCCCTTCTATTGCAATAAACAAAGGAGAGCCTCTGACTTGGCTATTTAAGGTGAGGAGAAGATTTCACAGCTCTTTTGCAGATCCCTCACTCACAAGAATGCAAGAGGCCCAGGGCTGGGAGGAACAGGGTTTATGTTGCATACTTAAAAACCAGCAGCACTGTGAGGGGAAGGAACCCGCTCCTAAAGATGCAGGGGGAGAAGGAAGGTGCAGCAGCTCCGCTGGGAGGAGGGTCTGCCCCATGCCGGATGGCTGGCATGGCTTACATGATGCTTGCTGGAGCAAAGACGGGGGCAACGCAAAGCGTGTCGGTGATTTCCCAGCCACAGGACAGAGGGGCACACGCGCTCTCCCGGCCATCTTCCTCCTCCGCATGCAGCGGTTTCCCCTTCAAGAGCTGAACCGCTTCCCTGCAAGGCCAAGGAAAAGGGGAAAGGCACGCTCAGGCACAGTTCCTGCAAGGGCCAGAAGGCCAGGCAGCTCCCCCTCATTCCCTGCGTCGAAACGCTGTGGGACTCCTGCTCCCCACACGCCCACCCCCCACAGAAACCCCCGGCTGCCCCATGTTGAAAGCACAGCTCCTGATTAGGGCTCTTGAGGAATGCCCAACGTGCCTGACGAATCACATTCAATACTCTCTCTAGCAGCCCTGTACAGTAGCTTGGGTCATAATCTCCTATTTCGGATGGGAGGTCAGGAGAGCTCCGCCTCATGAATTCATGGCAGAGGCAAGACCTGAACCAGGACACTTCTGGCTCTTCCATGGCCACCTGGCTACACTCACTTCAAGAGCTGCAGGGCTGCTGCTTTGGATACAGTGGGCTGAATCCCTCCTTCCCTCCCTCCCCTCCAGGCGGTCCCTCTCACCAAGCCATTCTGGACAGAGCGTAGTGAATCTGCGCCTGCTGGCCTCCCCTGAGAGAGGTGGCAGCTGGCACAGTGTGGGCCCCCATGTTCTCGAAGAGCAGCCAGTCCCCAACATGCAGTTCGGGGAGTTCCAGGCCTTCTGCAACGCGGTCCAGCCCGTCCCCGGTAGGTCCCCAGAAGCTGCTGCTGTGCAAAGGCAGATCTGGAGAGGGTTTCTGCATGGAGAAAAGGGGAGAAAGGGGGCCTGCTGAGAGTCTCTGGCTCTGCCACAACGGCTCCAGACCGCCCTTTCGAGAAAGCCAGCTGATGTTGGCAAGGGTCAAGGCACGGCTGTCTTCTGCCACCGGGAAGAGATGGCAGCAGGTGATCGTCGTCGGGGACTCCCTGCTAAGGGGTGTTGGGGAAATTTAGATAAATCCTGGCAGAAAAACGTTGCTTATATGTGCTTTTGTGTTAAAAAATCAAACCCACACTCTCAAAAGCACCGGCTTTCTAAGCCAAGTCACTGTTTAATATTGCTGTTGCCTTAAGAAGATGGCATTCTTAGCTAGACTGAGAAGCTTCACCTGTTCTTATCAGCTGTAGAAAAACTGAAATAATGCTGTTCATTTGTTTCTGAATGGGCCCACCTAAACGGAGGCAAGCTCCTGCTGAGTTTAAGTTGCCAAACCAGACTTCCTAAATGCTTCCTCCATCAGACACATTTGCATGTGTAAACAGACAGACCTGGCTGATCTGAACTGTCAAGAATTTGCTAGACCAACCCTATCAATACAGCAATCAGTAATGTTTTCCACACTATTGTTACCAGTATTTCTGATTGGATTAGAACATTATGTCATGCCTAAAGATATCAGGATCCTTTTGTATTAAGATTATCTGGAAACTTGACACTCTGTATTGGTGTACACAACTAGCAGGTTATAAAAGTGTCTGTATATGGGCTGAGAACTTGTAGTTGAGTTTCCCTCTGCCTGGTATTGCAGTATTGATACTGACTGCAGGTACCTGGGGCTCTGGACAATAGAGCAGCAGAGGTTCAAACATTTGATCTTTCCCAGAACCTGAGTTTTTATTTCCTCCTCACAAATTGAAAACCGAGATTCTGTCAGGGGCACTGAGGTGGCAGTATTCTGCCCTGACTTTGAGGCAAAGGAGATCTGTTGCCTGCCTGTATCTGACAAGTGATGGACAGAGTAGAGCATCTTCTTTCCTCAGGCGGTCATCAGCCACTTCTGGTGATCCATGTGGGAATGAATGACACGGCCAAGCAGGGACTGGCAGGATCAAGAGGGACTTTGCAGCTCTGAGCAAAAAACTCAGGGACCTAAAGGCCCAGGTGGCCTTTTCCTCCATCTTGCCACACCGGGGATTTTGGCCAGCCAGGGAAAGGAGGGCTGCAGAGGTGAATGAGTGGCTCAGGGCATGGTGTCAGAAGGAACACTTCAGGTTCCTCAACCATGGCACCCGGTTTCTTGCCAATGGGCTTCTGGCGAGTGATGCAGTCCTTCAGAAATTCTCTAGCGAGCTTCATCCAAAAGGCTTTAAACTCAACTGGGGTGGGTGGGTACAGTCCCCCCAGAAACTTGTCCTGATGGGACAAGTGAGGGGAGAGGCCCAGGTTTTCAGGTCCAGGGTGTTAGATGTACTGCAGGAGTGAAGGACATGGGTATCAGGGAAGATGGGAGGAAGGAGGAGGCTGGGAACTCCAAGGAAAGGAAGCGGTGGGAAGGAGTTGAGGTGCATGTACACCAATGCTAGGAGCATGGGTAATAAGCAGGAATAGCTTGCAGCTCTCCTGGGAATAGAAGGGTATGACCTGGTGGGGATCACAGAAACTTGGTGGGATGAAAGGCAAGACTGGAATGTAAACACAGAGGGGTATGACTGAGACTGAGGGAACTGGGTCTTTTCAGCCTGGAGAAGAGAAGACTCTGAGGGGACCTGTTGGCGACCTACAGGTATGTGAGGGGTGTCACATGGAGGTGGGCAGAAGAGGTCAGAATGCACTCCAATGAAGACAAGCTCAAGGAACTAAGGTTCAATTTGAATGCCAGGAAGCACTTCCTGACAGTTAGGACCCCTGGGGTATGGAATGGGCTTCCATGGGAGGTGGTTGAGGCTCCATCGGTGAGGGTGTTGAAGGACAGGTTAGGCATGCACATGGTAGGCATGTTGTGAGCAGAGCTGGCTGCAGCCAAGGGTCAGACTAGATGGCCCAGGAGACCCCTTCTGACTCACTCTGTTTCTATGTTTCTATGACCTGTTTAGAAAGGAGAGGAAGGGAAACAGGAGGAGGCATAGCGTTATATGTCAGGGAAGGGATAGGGTGCAGTGAGATAGAATGTGGTGCAGTTGGGGATCTGATAGAGACGGTTTGGGTGAAACTTAGGGGTTTTGACAGGGAAAGGGACCTGACAGTAGGGGTATGTTATCGCCCTCCAGGTCAACTTGAGACCCTGGACGATGTCCTGACAGATCAGATCCTAAGGATATCTCGGGGGAGAGACACAGTAATTATGGGAGATTTCAATCTCCCGGATATTAGTTGGGAGCCTCACTTGGCAGCGAGGGGAAGGTCATGTCACTTCCTAGATGCTATAGAGGGAGGGTTTTTCCCACCAAGGGTCTGGGAGGTGACAGGGGGGGGGGATATTCTTTACTTGGTCTTGACCAACAGGGAGGAGCTGATAGATGGGGTGCAGATGAGGAGAACTCTGGATGCGAGTGATCACTCCATCCTTTGCGATCAGGGGAATGGGGATGAGTGGCAGGTCAAGTGTTAGAAGCTGGGACTTTACAAGGGCTGACTTTGGTCAATTGAAGACCAAACTGAGGAAAGTCTTCTGGAGAGGATACTGGAAGGCAAGGGAGTTGAAGGGGGTGGTTGGCACTAAAAAGGGTGGACTTGGGGGCACAAGCCTTGATGATACCTCTAGTTAGCAAGGCAGGGAGGCAAAGGAGAGTGCCCCCATGGATTAGAAGAGAAGTGGTAAGAGGCATTAGGCATAAGAGGAACCTCTGTAGGAAATGGGCACTGGGGCAAGTAGGCAAAAGGGTATACCAGGAGGAGGAGGGCCGTTGCAGAAGGATTCTTTGCAAGGCTACAGCTGATTATGAGCTGATATCAGGAGCAACAAAAGCAGCTTCTACCAACATGTAAATAGCAAGAGGGAGACAGGTAGTGGGACCGCTAAATAAGGAGGAAGAGGATCCAGTGAATGATGTGAGGGAACAGGCACAGAAGCTAAATGACTATTTTGCCTCTATGTTCTCCCCAAAGTAAGATGGGAGATCAGATGAAGCCAGGGATTTAGGGGCACAGATTAGAGTCACCCCCCCCCCCCCCCCAGAAGTTGAGGATGTTATGAAGGCATCAGGCCCTGATGGGTTACACCTGAGGGGACTTAGGGAGTTGGTGGGGGTACTCTCACATCCGCAGGCCTCCATTTTTGAGGCCTCATGGAGAATGGGTGAGGTTGCAGAGGACTGGAGGGTGGCATCAGTGGTCCCAATCTTCAAAAAGGGTAGCAGAGGGGACATGGGCAATTACAGGCTGGTTAGCCTTACATCCACTGTGGGAAAGACAATGGAAAGGCTCATAATAGCGAGAGATCTAATAACTCTAGAAAGAGAAGGGATGTTGGCAGCCCTGCAACATGGCTTCTGCAAAAACAGGTCCTGCCAGACAAACCTTGTGGAATTCTATGACAAGGTTTCAAGGTGGCTAGACAGAGGGAACACGGTGGATGTGGTTTACCTGGATTTCAGCAAGGCCTTTGACAAAGTGCAGCATGATATCCTGGTGGAGCAACTGAGGGGTTTTGGGATAGACCGATGCACTGTCTGATGGATTAGGGCAGCAGTGGTGAACCTGCTGGCACATGAGCCAAGTTACCCCAGCATGGCCCCAGCAGCCAACAGCGCACATAGGGGCCATGTGCATGCTCAGAAAGGAGTAGTGGCATAGACATGGACTTGACGCAGATTCAAAATTATAGACCTATATCACTATTAAATGTGGATTACAAAATTTTTGCCTCCATAATGGCAGAAAGATTGAAGAAGTATCTAACAAACTTTATTCGCCCAGATCAAAATGGTTTCTTACCTAAAAGACAAATGAGGAATAACTTGAGAAGTATCCTGGACATCTTAGAGTATTATGAGATACATATGGAAAAACCAATGGCACTATTATTCATGGACACACAGAAGGCTTTTGACAATGTTAACTGGCAATTTATGAAGCAACAGCTAATTCAAATGGAGTTTGGTGAAAAGTTTATTAATGCGATATCAAGCATCTATCAAAAGCATGTCTGCTAGGATTATAAACAATGGAGAATTTACAAATATAGATATACAAAAGGGTACAAGACAAGGTTGCCCGCTATCACATCTGTTGTTTATATTGATCTTAGAAGTGTGAAACAGAAAAATCAGGGACAATATGGACATTAAAAGAACTAGAATTAGAGATGAAAGCTATAAACTGCAAGTATTTGCAGATGATCTAGTTTTCATAACGGAGGAACCCTTAGTAACAATGCCTAAACTAAAAAGGATTAAAGAGTATGGCGAGGTTACTGGGATGAAAACAAATAGAGAAAAGACAAAACTGTGAGTAAAAAATTTCACACAGGAGCAGAGAAAAACTCTGGTGGAACAAGTAGACTTTCAGATTTGTTAAAAAGGTTAAATATTTGGGAATTTATCTTACAGTTAAGTGTACCACTCTGAAAGAAGACAATTATGATAAACTATTTAAGGAAATTAAGAGTGATTTGGAAAAATGGGCTAATTTGCAATTATCCTTGCTGGGAAGAGTAGCACTAGCTAAAATGAATATCTTACCAAAGCTTTTGTTTCTATTCCAAATGATTCCCATAAAAATTGACAGAAAATTTTTTGATGACTTAAATTTTCAAATCTCGAGCTTTATATGGAGAAAGAAGAAACCAAGGATTGAACTAAAAAATACTTCAGGAGGCTAAAGAGAATGGGGGCTTTGGTCTCCCCGATTGGATGCTGTATTATCAAGCTTCTGTTTTAACGCGGCTAAAAGAATGGATAACCTTAAGAAATAAGAGAATCTTGTATCTCGAAGGGCATGATTTGCAAATGGGTTGGCATGCTTATATGTGACATGAAAAGGCTAAGGTACATGGCTCTTTTTTAAGTCACTATATTAGGAAATCATTAATGTTGGTGTGGGAAAAGTTAAAGACAAAATTGTATAATAAATTACCAAGACGGTTTTCACCTATGGAAACTTGTATATTCAAATGCATTGAATTTTGAAGGGATCATAAGATACGATGACATTTTGGATAATGATGGAGGATTGAAATTGAATCAAGAAATACAAGAACAAGGATCTAATATTTCTTGGTGGCATAAGGTGTAGATACAATCGAGATATGCTAAAGACTATAGAATGTGGGGCTTTTATAAAGATTTAACAGCATTTGTGCAGGTGATGCTTAAATCAGATGAGAAAATGATTAAAAAACTATATAATTTCTTAGTCGATAGGAGAATGGAAGATGAACAGGTTAAGGAAACTATGATAACGTGGGCACAAAACTTTGGATATAATATTGAATTAGAAAAATGGCAAAAGCTGTGGGGGAGAAATATTAAGGTAACATTAGCAACTTCTTATAAAGAAAACCTGTATAAAATGTTTTATAGCTGGTATCTGTCGCCAAATAGATTAGCTAAGATGTTTCCAAATATGTCAAATGGATGTTGGAAATATAAACATAAATTGGGTACTTTCTATCATATGTGGTGGACTTGCGATAATGCGAAAAAGTATTATATTAAAATACATAAATGGCTTGAGGAAATGTTACAAAAATCCTTAGCTTTTAAACCTGAAGTTTTCTTATTAGGCATTATACCAGAGGACACTAGTAAACAAGAAATGTATTTGATTTTACATGTAATTACTGTGGTGAGGATTGCATTTGCTCAACACTGGAAAAGTGAAGAACCACCCACCGATGAACTGATCCTAAAAAAAGTTCTTGGATTGTGCAGAAATGGATAGATGGACATTGTCATTGAAGGAGAAAGAAGATACTGATTTCTATCAAACTTGGGACTCTTTTTATTATTGGCTAGAGAAACGGGACTTCATATAGATTTAAATATGTTTTAAGTTATCATAAATGGAAAAAAATGTGGGGGCTGACCCAACAGGTCTGATGTTTCTGATGACTGATGATGTTTTTAGTTTTTCTTTGTTTAGGATTATTTTGAATAAAACTTATTATAAAAAAGAAAGAAAGGAAGGAGTAGTGGCGCCAGGCGATGATGTCATGAGCCATGACTCATTAGCCGCAACTCATTTGAGCTTTTGCATGGTCGGTCAGTGCGCTGCCAAGGATATATATATATATTTGCTTGGACTGGCTGTGAGTTGTTTTTTCTAAACTAAAACCTCAGTATTCAGGTTTTATTACAGTGTTGGCACTTTGCGATAAATAAGTGGGCTGTGGGTGCAGTTTGGACACTTGGTCTCTAAAAGGTTCACCATCACTGGATTAGTGATGGTCCACATGGCTGATGGATCAAAAGCAGAGGGTTACTATCAGTCCTGGAACTGATCCTGTTTAATCTTTTTATCAATTACCTGGAGGAGGGGATAACAACTCTGCTGATCAAATTCACAGATACTAAAATGGGGACAGTGGCTACAACTGAGGACCAGGTACTCTGTATACAAAAGGATCTGGACAGACTATGGAAGTGGGCCGGGGACAACAGGATGGCATTCAATGTAGACAAATGCAAGGTCTTGCACTTGGGGCATAGGCATGGGCATCATAAATACAGGTTAGGGGACAAGTGGCTGGAGAGCAGCACTTGTGAAAAGGATCCTGGAGTGCTGGTCAACTACAGGCTAAACATGAGCCAGCAGTGTGATGCGGCAGCCAAGAAGGTGAAGGCCACCCCCGGATGCATGGCTAGAAGTGTGGCTTCTAGATTGAGAAAGGTATTACTGCCTCTCTATGCAATTTTGGTACGCTCGCAGCTGGAGTATTGTATTTAGTTCTGGGCCCCTCATTACAAGAGGGATATAGCAAGGTTGGAATCAGTGCAGCAAAGGGCCACAAGGCTGGTGGCTGGTTTGCAGGGTAAGCCACATGAGGAGAGAGGGAGGGAGCTGGGTCTTTTCAGTCTTGAGAGGAGGAGACTCAGAGGGGACTTGTTAGCAACATACGGGTACGTGAGGGGGTGCCACAAAGAGGTGGGTCATGATCTTTTTTCCCCTGCAGTAGAGGGCAGGATGCATTCCAATGGAGCAAAGCTCAGGAAACCAAGATTTAGGGTGGATGTCAGGAAGTACTTCCTGACGGTTAGGACCCCTAGGATATGGAATGGGCTTCCACAGGAGATGGTTGAAGCCCCAGCAGTGAGGGTGTTTAAGGATAGACTGGACAATGCACATGGTAAGCATGTCATGGGCAGAGCCGGTTGGAGCCAGGGGTCAGACTAGATGGCCCAGGAGGCCCCTCTTGATTCACTCTGTTTCTATGTTCCTAGGATACTGCTGCCTGCCTGCTGTGGCCATGCTAATTTTGTCTGAGAGTGCCCAACGTTGACACAATGCCTCAAAAGCACCATAGCTGGCAAGTGACCCAGTGTGGGCACCATCTGACCAAAGGCGTTTGCAACTTGCTGCTGCACTGAAAGCAGGCGGACTGGCATTAGCCATGACAGAGCCCTCCCGCAGCCTCATGGCAATTCCTGGACCATGCCCAATCCATCCTAGCTGGCAGGCCCAGCCAAGCACCAGGCCACTCCTGCCCTGACCCGTTCCAGACTTCTGGCGAGTTGTCCCAGTGCATCTCGTCTTGGGAGCTGGGTGGCAAAACTCCTACCTTAAGCAGGACGGGGGTAGGGCAAGCGCTGCTGAAGATGACTGAGCCGAAGGAGCTGTAAACGCCCTCATTTATATGGTAGATGAAGCTCTTTTTGCCACCAGGCTCTTCATCTGGAAGAATCAGAGGAAATGCGGCAGGGCGGGGTTAAAGGAAATGGCGCACGTCTGAACACCGGCCAGCACACCAGCTGCCCCGTGCTCTCTTGATCCAGGGATCTCCCTGCCCCTTGCGTGTGTGCGGCTATTCTGCTGATTACATGCATCTTCAGAGCTTACAGCCAGTGCCAACAGCTGACCAGGTTGGGCAGCTGCCAGATCTCTGGGTCAAGCCTAACAGCGGGCTAGCTGCACCCCTACCTTGACCACTGGTCCAATCTCCAGGACCGCAAGCGATGCTGCTGTAGATACATCACTTCTTCTACTTCAAAGAGTCTACGTCTCCTCTTCAAAGTGTGGAAAGAGCCCTGCTGGATCAGGCCAAAGGCCTTCCTATTCCCAGCATTCCATTCCCCACAAGGGCCAACCAGACATCCCAATGGGAAGCCCCAAAGAAGGTTACAGAGGCAAAGGCCCATGTTGTAACAGACCCTCTCACCCATGTTCCCCAGCAATTGGTACACTGCTTCTGGATCTGGAGGTAATGCCTACTAATTATAGCAGCCATTGCTGGCCTTCTCTGTGAATTTGGCTTTGAATCACCAACCAATTGGGTGGCAGCCACTACATCTTGCGTTAGTGGGAGATTCCCTCTTGTGTGGGATGGAAAAATGCATATGTTGCAACGACCCAGAGACTGGTCAAGTATATTGTTTCCCTGGTGCCAAGGTTAAAGATATAACCAGTAAGTTCATGCCTCTCATACAACCCACTGACGAATAACTCTTCCTTTGCATCCATGTGGAAACTAACGATACTGCCAGCAGAAGCTTTGACAAAATAACTTTGAAGCTCTAGGGAGGAAAATAAAAAACACTGGGGCTCAGATAGTCTTCTCCCCTATCTTAACAGTACATAGAAGAGGAACTGATAGGGAAAGAAAAATCCTTCAAGTGAACGACTGGCTACGATGGTGGTGCCATAAAGAGAGATTCGGATTCTGGGACCACGAGCTCAGCTTCCTGGAAGACAGACTACTGGCAGATGAAGGGCTGCACCTCACAAAGAACGGGAAGCAGGTGTTTGGCCAATATGAAAAAGTTCATCAGGAGGGCTTTAAACTAAAATATATAGGGGAGGGAGTTATACAGCAACCTGACAAAGACTTATGTATTTCAACAGAGAAAAAACCTTAAGCAGGGCCTGACATCAATCCCCTCAAAAACGTAGGAAGAAAACCAGAGCACAGCGAGAATGGACTTTGATGTCTCCACACAAATGCCCAGAGTATGGGGTGCAAACGACATGAACTTGAGCTCATAGTACATGAGGGCAATTATGATCTTATAGGAATAGCTGAAACTTGGTGGGATGACTCACACAACTGGAATACAACCTGTTCAAGAAAAATAGAAAGGACCAAAAGGGAGGTAGTCGCACTATATGTAAGAGAGACATATATCTGCACAGAAATACAAGAGGGGGACCTTGGTACTTGGTAGTCCCAGTGAAAGCTTCTGGCTTAATTTAAAGGGAGCAAAAAATAAGAAAAACTTACTTACTGACGTCTATTGCCGACCACCCAGTCAAAAAGAGGACAAGGGTGCAACCTTTGAAAAGCAACATTCCGGCATTTCCAAGAAGAATGATATAGTCAACACAACGGTCTTTGGCTTCCATGATATATGCTGGGAGATCATTTCTGCCAAACATGGCCCCTCCAAGAGATTCCTGATATGCATTGCTGACAACTTTTTCCAACAGAAGGTAGAGAAAGGAATGAGAGTATCAGCTATCCTGGATTTAATACTAACAGGGATGGCCAGCTGGACAAAATAGAGCCATGGGAACTCTGGAGGAAAGTGGCCATGCAATACTCGAATACTCAATTATAGAGGAGACAAAGGCTTTGCTGTTGTTGTTAGTCGTGAAGTCGTGTCCGACCCATCGTAACCCCATGGACAACATTCCTCCAGGTCTTCCTGTCCTCCACCATCCCCCGGAGTCCACTCAATCTCACACCAACTGCTTCAGTGACTTCATCTAGCCACTTCATTCTCTGCCGTCCCCGTCTTCTTTTGCCATCTATTGTTCCCAGCATTATGCTCTTCTCCAGGGAGTCCTTCCTTCTCATTTGGTGGCCAAAGTATTTGAATTTCATCTTCAGTATCTGGCGTTCTAAAGAGCAGTCAGGGTTGATCTCCTCTAGGACTGACTGGTTTGATCTCCTTGCAGTCCAAGGGACTCGCAGGAGTCTCCTCCAGCACAATTCAAAGGCATCAGTTCTTCGGTGCTCAGCCTTCCTTATGGCCCAGCTTTCACAGCCATACACTGCAATTGGGAAAACCATAGCCTTGACTATACGCACTTTTGTCGGCAGGGTGATGCCTCTGCTTTTTAGTATGCTGTCTAGATTTGCCATAGCTTTCCTCCTCAAGAGCAAGCATCTTTTAATTTCTTGGCTGCAGTCCCCATCTGCAGTGATCTTGGAGCCCAGGAAAACAAAATCTGTCACTACCTCCATTTCTTCCCCATCTATTTGCCAGGAAGTGAGTGGACTGGATGCCATGATCTTAGTTTTCTTAATGTTGAGTTTCAAGCCAACTTTTGCACTCTCCTCCTTCACCTGCATCAAGAGGCTCTTTAGTTCCTCTTCACTTTCTGCCATGAGAGTGGTATCATCTGCATATCTGAGGTTGTTGATGTTTCTCCCAGCAATCTTAATTCCAACTGGTGATTCATCTAGGCCCGCCTTTCTCATGATGTGCTCTGCATATATGTTAAATAGGCAGGGTGACAGTATACAGCCTTGCCGAACTCCTTTCTCAGTTTTGAACCAATCAGTGATTCTGTGTCCAGTTCTCACTGTTGCTTCTTGACCCGCATATAGGTTTCTCAAGAGACAAATAAGATGGTCTGGTACTCCCATCTCTTTAAGAACTTGCCACAATTTGTTGTGATCCACCATAGTCAATGAAGCAGAAGCAGATGTTTTTCTGGAACTCCCTAGCTTTCTCCATGATCCAGTGTATGTTGGCAATTTGATCTCTAGTTCCTCTGCCTCTTCAAAATCCTGCCTGTACTTCTGGTAGTTCTCGGTCCACGTACTGCTGGAGCCTAGCTTGTAGGATTTTGAGCATAACTTTGCTAGCATGTGAAATGAGTGCAATGGTGTGGTAGTTTGAGCATTCTTTGGCATTGCCCTTCTTTGGGATCGGAATGTAAACTGACCTTTTCCAATCCTGTGGCCACTGTTGAGTTTTTTGAATTTGCTGGCATATTGAGTGTAGCACTTTTACTGCATTGTCTTTTAATATTTTGAATAGCTCAGCTGGAATACTGTCACCTCCCCTAGCTTTGTTGTTGCTCAGACTTCCTAAGGCCCATTTGACTTCACATGCCAGGATGTCTGGCTCGAGGTCAGTGACCAGCCCATCGTGGTTATCAGGGACGTTAAGCTCTTTCTTATATAGTTCTTCTGTGTATTCATGCCACCTCTTCTTAATCTCTTCTGCCTCTGTTAGGTCCCTGCCATTTTGGTCCTTTATCATGCCCATCTTAGCATGAAACGTTCCCTTCATATCTCCAATTTTCTTGAAGAGTTCTCTGGTCCTCACTCTGCTATTGTTTTCTTCTATTTCTTTGCACTGTTCATTTAAGAAGGCATTCTTATCTCTTCTAGCTATTCTCTGGAATTCTGCATTCAATTGGGTGTATCTTTCCTTTTCTCCCTTGCCTTTCGCTTCCCTTCTTTCCTCAGCTATTTGTAAAGCTTCCTCAGACAGCCATTTTGTTTTCTTGCATTTCTTTTTCTTTGGGATGGTTTTAGTTGCTACATCTTGCACAATGTTGCGAACCCCTGTCCATAGTTCTTCATACACTCTGTCTATCAGATCTAATTCCTTAAATCTATGTGTCACCTCTGCTGTATATTCATCAGGGATATGATTTAGGTTATACCTGAGTGGCCTAGTGCTTCTCCCTACTTTCTTCAATTTAAGCCTAAATTCTGCAACAAACAGCTCATGATCTGAGCCACAGTCAGCTCCTGGTCTAGTTTTTACTGACTGTATAGAGCTTCTCCTTCTTTGGCTGCAGAGCACATAGTCAGTCTGATTTCTGTGTTGACCGTCTGGTGATCTCCATGTGTAGAGTCATCTCTTGGGTTGTTGGAAAAGAGTGTTTGCTATGACCAGCATGTTCTCTTGACAAAATTCTGCCAGCCTGTGCCCTGCTTGATTTTGTACTCCAAGGCCAAACTTGCCTGTTATTCCGGTTATCTTTTGGCTTCCTGCTTTAGCATTCCAATCCCCCATGATGATAAGGACATCATTTTTTGGGTGTTAATTCTAGAAGGTGCTGTAGGCCTTCATAGAACCGGTCAACTTCAGCCTCTTCAGCACCAGTGGTTGGGGCATAGACTTGGACTACTGTGATGATGAATGGTTTGCCTTGGATTCGAACTGAGATCGTTCTGTCATTTTGGAGATTGTATCCCAGTACTGCTTTTCCTACTCTTTTATTGACTATGAAGGCTGCTCCATTTCTTCTGAGGAATCCTTCCCCACAGTAGTATACCTGATGGTCATCTGAATTAAATTCACCCATTCCTGTCCATTTTAGTTCACTGATTCCTAAGGTGTCGATGTTCAGTCTTGTCATCTCTTGTTTGACCACATCCAGCTTGCCTTGATTCATGGATCTTACATTCCAGGTTCCTATGGAGTATAGATCTTTGCAGCATAACTGCAGCCAAACGTGTATCCTGGACTTTGGGCCTAAAAAGCCAACAAAGTGGGCCTAAAAAGCCAACTTTGATGAACTCAGAACAATGATAAGCGAAATGCAATGGCAACACACCCTTAAGGGAACAGGAGTTCAAGAAGGATGGGAAATCTTGAAAAAGAAGATTCTCCAAGCACAGCCATGAACACTTCCATCAAGAAAAAAGTGTAGAAGACAGCAGAGGAATTCCTCATGGCTCCACAAAAAGTTAAGTGATAGCATGAAGAAAAAAAGAGCATGTACAGGAGGTGGAAGCAAGCCAGGCCACAAAGGAAGAGTACAGTGGTACCTTGGCTCACGAACGTAATCTGTTCCACGACTCTGGTCGTGACCCAAATTGGTCGTGACCCAAGTCAAATTTCCCCATAAGGTTCTATGTAAATAAGGTTAATCTGTTCTGTAACCATTTCATAATCACAAAAATTTGAAACAAAGTTACAAAGAACAGCAAAATAACAAAGAACAACAAAGATTGCGGCCATCTCCCCCCGCCCCCCGAGCATGCCTGTGCCCATCTTCCCTGAACAAGTGCGACCATGATCATGGCCATCACCCCACCCTCCACAAAGCACAACCGTGACTGCGCCCGTCTTTTCCGCACGAGCATGACCACGGCCATCCCCCCCATCCCACCAAGCACGATCACGGCCATCTCCCCTCCCTCAGCATGACCGCAGTCATGCAGGGAAGGCGGGCACTATTGTGATCGTCAGCCGATGTGGAGTTCGCAACCTGAGGCAATTTTTTTCTGAAATTTCTGTTCACGACCCAATTTGGTCGTGAACTGAGGCGTTCGTGAGCCAAGTATAAACAAATTGGATGGCGATAACTAGTGGGGTGCCGCAGGGTTCAGTCCTGGGCTCAGTGCTCTTCAACATTTTATTAATGATTTAGATGAGGAACTACAAGGAAAGAGAATCAAATTTGCAGACAATACAAAGCTGGGTGGAATAGCAAACAGCCTAGATGACAAAATGATGATAGAGGGTGATCTTGATACACTTGAGCGCTGGGTTGAAAGCAGCAGAATGAGATTCAATAGGGACAAGTGCCAAGTCCTCCACCTAGGAAAAAGAAACCAAGGCATCGATAAAAGATGGGGAATATGAGGCTCAACAGAACTGAAAAGGGAAAAGACCTTGCGGTAATTGTGGACAGCAGGCTAATTATGTGATCTGACTGCAAAAAAAGGCAAATGCTATTTTGGACTGCATCACTAGAGCATCACTTCCCAATCTTGTAAGTACTAGTTCCTCTTTACTCAGAAACGGTCAGGCCTCTTCTTGACTGCTGTGCCCAGTTCTGGGCACCAAGATTTAAGGGAGATGCACAAAAATTAGAAAAGGTGCAGAGGAGGGCAACAAAAAGAATCCAGTATTTGGAAACACTGCCCTGTGAGGAGAGACTGAGAGAAATGGGCATGTTCAGCCTTCAGGAGAGACGACAGAGGGGGAACATGAGATCCCTATATAGGTATCTCAAAGGCTGTCCCAAAGAGGAAGGTCAAGATCTCTTCTCGCTGATATCAGAGTACAGGATACGAAATACCATCTTTTCTTGAAAATATTTACCTAAAAATGGAGGGGAGTCTTATACATGGGGGGCCGAGAGGAGAACCACGGGCACACTTGGGAGGGGAGGAGGGCACAGGCGCGATCGGGGGAGGGAGACTGGCGCGGGCACACACGTGCGGGGAGGCGGCAGGTGCACACGCGCAGCAGCAGCAGCTTGCTCGCTCGGAGATCGGTAAGAAAAGTGGGGGGCGTCCTACACATGGGGGCATCTTATAGTCGGAAAAATATGGTAATCAGGTAAGGTGCAACAACCCAGATCCAAGCTAGATATCAAGAAAAACTTCCTCACTGTCTGAACGATACGATGGTGGAACTGGTTGCCTAGAGACATTCAAACAGAAACTGGGCAGCCCTCCGAGTGGGGTGGTGTACTCTGGTGTCCTGCAACAGCACAGGCTGGACCCGATGGCCTTCTTGGCCCCTTCCAACTCTTCTTTGATTCTGTGACTAAAGGTGCCTTAGGCCAGGTTACCCTGGGAGCCCTCCGAGCTGGCCCTGGCCTGGACCCTCAATCAGACCTGCCTGACTTGGAAACCACAACCCCTTTTCTGTTAGCACTGTTATTTTAACTTTTACTGTTAATCTATCAAAGCAACCAGCAAACTAGTTAAAAAGGAAGTTCAGGGGGGATAATGAAGCCATGAGTGAGAATGTCTGGAAAGGAACAAGGAGGGCTATGGCAGCTCAGTGAGAAGGGAGATGCACTGCCCACATGCTCAGAGGCACTGCTCTGAGCTTCCCAACTTCCTGCCCCTGAAAACAGCTTCTCAGAAGGCACCTTTCAGTCCATGTAGAGGCCCTGCCACATTAGCTGACCAGACCTACCCTCGGAGCCTGGCAGGGGAACCTCCCTCTTGGCAACAATGTTGACTGCTAAGGTGAAGGCCGAGTCCACATAGTAGCGCCCGAGTTCAGCGATGATCTCCACCCCACAGCCTTCTGGGAAATACAGGTCCAAGGCAGAGTTGACCACAGCTGCAGTCTGGACGGTTCCGAGTGGAGGGGGAGAAGAATCCAAGCCAAGCCATTACAAACGTGCACCACTGCAGTTCTCCACAGAACGTCACACACAGCCTGCAAAAATATGCAACTGGGGGCCACGCTCAGTGGGACATCTGAGCTGGCCCCCTCCCTGCTCAGACCAAACGGGAGGACTCGTACCTCTTCCAAGCGCCCTCTGGACTCCTCGGCACCAGGAAAAACACCTCCAATGTCCAGGAGGTGCATCTTGTAACCCAGCTCTGCACCCATTTCAAAGACCAGGCGAGCATCTGCTATGGACGGAGTGATGATCTGCAGGTCGGTACAGCTGCCGCCAGTGTGGAGGCTGGAAAGGAAGGGCAGCCGCATGCTCACGTCCTCTGCTCCTCCACCAACCTGCTTCCCGGGCTGCCACTGGTCCCTTGCGCACCTGCTGCTCCTAGAGGTGCCCGGGGGCCACGTGCTGCTGCACACGTGCCCCCACCCAACCACCCTCGCCCTGCAACGGTCCCTGGCATCTCTGCGTAGGGCTGGGAGGGAGCTGCGGCTGCCAGTCGGTGCTGGCTGCTTGGAACCAGGCAGAGCAAGTGGGCGGGGGCCAGTTCCCTGGGTTCTGCCGTGAAGGGGCGCAGCACCCAAGTGCCCCAGCCCCAGCCCCAGCGCCCCCACTGCAGCAACAGCTCTAATGCGAACTGCCTCAGCTCAGGGTGGGGACACAGCCTGTGCCAGGGGTGCCCCCAGGCATCCGATGGCCCAGTACCCACAGGCAGTTTTGCACACTCCCTGTGTGCCCGACGTCCTGCGCAAATGTTGGCATAGGCCCAGAGGGGCGGGGGCCCACTGGAGGGGCTTGGCGCCTCGAAGGCGGCACGCACCATGCCCCTTCCTCTCCTGCCACTGAGGAATGCGAGGAATGCCATGGCCCACCTGATGCCAACCACCTCAACGTTCATCTCCTTCGCTGTCTCGAGCAGGTGTCGGCAGGTTTTAAGGGTGGCACCAAACTTCATGCTCAGGCGGGAGGAAGACCTGGAGTCGTCGGCAGCCAGGCAGAGAATCATTCTGTGGAAAACGGAGGCAGGAGAGCAAACTCAGTCTGCTGCCAGGTGGTTTGCCATTCCTTTCACGCCAGCAGGGCAGCAGGCACTGTGCACAAGGTGGGCACACAGACATGCCATATTCTGTGACAAAACTTTAAAAGCAATGGAGGGATGGGGGCCCTCTTCCGGTCCTGCATCCAGGGTGAGTTAGAACAGGATTAGGGTTAGGATTATAGAACAGTTGAGTTAGAAGGGATCTATAGGGCCGTTGGTCCAGCCCCCTACCCAATGCAGGACCACAAGCTAAAGCATCCCTGCTAAATGGCTGCCAAGCTGCCTCTTGAATGCTGCCAGTGTGGGAGAGCCAGCCACCCAAGTGCCAGACTGCCTAAACAGGAAGTTTTTCCTGATGTTTAGCTCGGCTTCCTGCAGCTTAAACCTGTTATTCAGTGTCCTGCACTCTGGCATGAGTTACACAAACTGATAACATTTTCATCTCTTCTGTTCGCTTTATTTTTTTTTTCCTCCCACATTTTCAAGATCTAGACTGCCAATGCATTTCCATGATGCGGGCTACCTAAGCAGGCGGTCTTGTGAACAGCGCCACTGCAGACTGCAAGGAAAGGGGAATTGCATGGCTGAGTGCTCAGGCCTGTGTTTGGAAAAAAAAACCTCTTAGGGACTGTTGGGGTGTCTGCATTCCATAATTTAACTCTGGCGTCCCAGTAGAAGTAGCTGCATTTCCTTGCACCTTTGTAATGCTAACTGACACCCTTCAGGTGTCTGGGGGCATCAAGGCCCAGACCCTGGCTCTACTCGACGTGAGAAGAGCTCCAAGCATGGAGATCACTGGGTCCTCCAACCTCCCGGGAGACAATCTCAAACCAACGACCCCAAAAGAGGTGTCTGTAGGGGCAGAGTCCGAGCCGCGAGAGGTGCCTCTGTCCCTCCTTTCAGAAGTTGCAGCCCTACACCCTTCGCTGGAAGAAGATGACTCATCCAGGAACTGGCAGTAGCCATGCCTCCATCTGAAGCCCAGGAGCTGCAGGAGATGCCTCTGCCCTGCTGGAATGCACAACCTCCAAGCAGGTTCCTTCCAGGGAGGCGGTTTTTATTTGGACCTCATTCTGCCAAGTTCTGTAAGCCAGTCTGAGAGCACTGCCAGCATTTCTCATTCCCAGATCCAGCTGAATCCCAAATCTTTCTCCACAGGGAGCTCTCTGAGGATCCAGCTCTCAACCGCCTGACCTGCACCTGCCAGAATATTCCCATGGTTTCCTGCCTGGATGAGCATTGGGTAGACTGGCCTCTTTTTAAAAAAGGACAAACATGTTTATTTCATGGCTACTTCTTTAAAAAGCAGTTGGAAAGAGTTGGAGCCTGCTCTGGGGGTAAAGGTGGGAAAACTGAGTGGGTTCTTTCACAGGCACAAGGGACAGTTGGGTCCTGCTGGAAGCTCGAGCGACCATTTCCCCGCTGGGCTTCCCTGGAGGGACACAGGTTTGTTTCAGCAGGCGGTTTGGCCCCACTGCTCATATCACGGCACATCTAATTACCCCCCTAGCACAGCCTTCTCTAGCCTGTGCCCTCAGCCCAAGCCATTGTGCTAAGCATGCTAGGAACAGTAATCCAAGATGCCTGGAAGATCCCCGGTGAGGGAAGGTTGCCCCACCACATCAAGCTGAAGAGCTCTAGCCTGGCTTTCCCTGGATCAACCTGGTTGTTCTTCGCAGCCAACCAAGGGCCAGGAACTCTTCTGTCAACTACAAAGCTGACTCTCTCGGGATTCCAGTCAAGGGCTGGGTGCTCCGTGGACATCTCATCTAAGGTCCCACTATCCTTTTGCTTGCCGAGGCTCTTTTATTGATTGATTGATTGATTGATTGATTGAGGAAGCTTCTATGCCGCCCCATTCGCCAAAGCCTCTTCTCCTCATTGCACCAGCCCCGCCTCACAGATTCACCTGCAGGTGCTGCCAGCCTACCTGGCAGATGGGTGGCTCCGAGCTATCTTCCCAAGCTCCACTTCGTTGTCAAAAGTCATCAGCTGCAGCCCTTGGCGAGCCGCATATCTGATCAAGGAGATCTGCTTGCAGGGGCTGGTGCAGATGATCCTGTCCGACGGGACCCCAGTGCTCTTCACCAGTTCCACCTCTGCCTGAAGGATCAGCACAAACATCATTGGAACAACTCGGCTCTCTGAGCCAGGGAGGGGCTCCAGCCCGGAACCCTACAAAGTCACGCATTTCCTGCTTCCTGCACCACCACCACTGGGAAGATGGAGGTGGGAGGATGACTGCAGGCCTCCCGAGCCAGGATAAGAGCACCCAAGACGGTTCTGGGAATCCGTCAGATGATCCCGGGGGCCAAGCGGCAGGACTTGCTGCAACCCCACTGAACCCTTGCTGCTACCCGCGGCTGCAAGGCCTGATACCCTCCAAGGGTCACTGGGCAGGTTTGGTCCCCCTTCCTGTCTCTCCTGTGCTTATGGACCCTTTTTGTGCAGGTGGTTTCCCTGCGACTGGACAGAACCCCCATCCTGTCCAGGCCTGTTGTACCCAACCTTGGAAATGGCATCTCGATCTCTGGCTTGCTGGTTGGACTGCAGCCTCTCTGGCCAGAGACTCTCTTGCTCCAGCACTTAGGGTAGAGGCAATAGCTGGGTTCAGATGTCACAGTACGTTCTTTATCACACAGCATTGTGGTCATAACCAGAAGAAGGGCTAATAATGTTGTGGGAAGTGTAAAGTCTGTATCTTTTAAAATATGAGTGAAGGATTGTTCTTTCTTAAGAAGTGTAGAATCTGTATCTTTTAGAATGAATAAAGGCCTGTTCTCATTGTCTCATCCTCCCCACAAGATTTAAGAAACATTTTGGCATCAAGTAAGAATTTTCAAGGCCACTTCGGCCGGTTGACCTCTTAGAAGGTACTGCGCATGCTTAATAGGTTCATGAATAGTAACTGACACACCTCTCATAGATAATGGGCTCATTAGCGTGAACATGGGATGTATGAGCGGGAGGGGGAACATATTAAGGAGTAGTATGATGTAGGCAGATGGGGAAGATTGTGACTTCTTAGTAACCAGCCAATGGCGAAGCAGGGATAGTGTTGAGCATGGGGAAAGGAATGTATAAAATCTCTTGTAAACAGTAAAAGATTGCTCTTTGTTTCTCAGACTACTGAGGCATTGAGCCAGCCTTTGCAAATGCTTTTTGTATGGAATAAACTGCTTGTACCCACTCGAATCCTGTCTCAAGGGTTTTAAATCTCACAATGTCTAGGCTCAGTTTCTGCATTGCGCTCTGCATGGGGCTACCCTTGTGCCAGCTCTGAAAACTGCAACTGGTACAAAATATGGCAAGCAGGAACTTCCGGTATGGTGTCGGGACGAGGCGGCTGTGATGAACGGTGCTCCTGTTATCACGCCGGTACTTGTTCGGTAGTGAGCAGTGGGAGGCTCATCTAAGCCCTGCCGGGGCGAAGATAAGATTGTCTGTGCCTTCTTCTAGTTGGTGTGGAGCAGCAACTCCTCATCTACTGGGAGAATTTCGGACATTTCTCAACCAGACAATACAGGGGAGATTTATAGCTCCCTGCAAGTCCTTAGCAGCCGGAGAATAGCTTAGAAGATTAGATAAGAATTCATTGGATTTATTGGGTGAGCATTTTTATCTCCTCTTCGCAATACCACCTGTGGAAAAGTTGTATCTGTTGTTTGTGGGCAGAGTGGCCATTTTCAGCCATCTTTCTCTTTTTCTGGAACTCTTGCCAAAAGCAACTGGACATTTGCCAAAGTAATTAAGAAAGAATGCTCTTGCTGCCACCTGGTGGCTATTTGGATTATAGCAAGTACTTTTACTCTCTCCTATATTTTTTCCTCTGCTGTCTTGTAATCTTTGGTGAAAATTATTACCACTATGGAAGAGCTAAAGATGACACTCCTGGCAATACAGGAATCCTTAACAGTTTTGCAAATATCCCAAGAGGCAATGTTAATACAACAGAAAATCTTTTCAATTGAACAAAAAGAATGTTTTGACAAACTTGATATTTCTTTTAAGGCGGCTTTGGTAGATGTACAACCTAAAATTGAACAGAATATACAAAAAATACAACAAGCATATGAAAAAGCTGAAAACGTGGATAAAGAAACAAAATTAGCAAAGCCAATAAATAAGCTATCGGGATTCACTGTTATATTAGAGAGAGAGAATCCATTCTGGCTACCTAAAGAAGGAACATTTCTTACTGGGGAAAAAGGAGGAGGGATGGATCCTGAATTAACTATGTATTATTTTGAGGAAGAAGAAACAGTGAAGATTGATTTGCAGCAAGAAATACAGTCATTGGAAATGAATATTGATTTACAACAAATGCTACACCTACTGAAAACAAAGCAAGAAATAGTGAATATTGATTTGCAACAAGAAATACAGATATTGAAGAATACTGATCTACAACAAGCACTACAGCTACTGAAAACAAAGGAAGAGAGACGGGGCAGGGGTGTAAAGAAGAAATAAGAGAATTTCTCATTTTAAAAAGGAATGATTTAAATGGGTTGGCATGTTTCTATGTGGTATGGAAAGGCTAAGGTATATGATTCTTTTGTTCTTAAGTTACTATACTAGAAAATTATTAATGTTGGTGTAAGAAAAGCTGTACTAAGAAGGTTTTCTTTTTCTTTCTTTTTTTCACCCATGGAAGCTTCTCTGTATTTAAATGCATTGAATTCTGAAGGGATTGTAAGATATGATCTAAATTGAGCTAAGAAATATAAGAACAGGGAGTTGATCTTTTTCTTTGTTGGTGACACAAGAGGTAGGTACAATCGAGATATGTTAAAGATTGTAAGAGTGGGGCGTCTATAAGGAGTTAATAGCATTTGATTAAGTGATGTTTAAGTTAGATGAAACACTAGTAACTTAGTATTAAGAAAATGTGTATAAAATCTATTATACGTAGTAGTTGTTGCCAAATAGATTAGCTAATATGTTTCTAAAGATGTTAAATGGATGTTGTGTGTTTAAACATAAATTGGGTATTTTTATTATACAGAGTAGAGGAAGGGGTACAAATATTCCTAGTTTCTTAAACCGGAAATTTCTTTTTTCGTAGGTATTATATTGGAACATTAGTAAATAAGAAATGTATTTGATTTTACTTGTAATCTTTGTGGTGAGGAGTCTATCTGTTCAATACTGGAAAAATGAAGAATTATCCTTCAACAAAATGATTGAAATGGTTAGACTGAATCTACCAGTGATGCAGAAATGGATAGATTGACTTTATCACTGAAGGAGAAAGAAGATATCGACTTCTATCAAACTTGGGATTTTTTTTATTATTGGCTGGAGAAACGGGACTTGGCTTAGAGTTAAAGATGTTTTTAAGTTGTTATAAATGGATTTGAATTTGACTATAGAATGTTAAAAGATATGTAGTAGGGGGCTGACCCAGTACATCCAATGTATTTGATGATTGATGTTTCTAGTATTAGTTTTAAAAATTTTAATAAAAATCTTTAAAAAAAATATGGCAATTAGCTGGTCTCAGGAACATCATGGAGAGACCACAGATTCCCAATATTAAAGACTCTGCACTGGCTGCCAATATGTTTCTGGACAAAGTACAAGGTTTTGCTAATTACCTTTAAAGGCCTTCATGGCTTGGGTCCAAAATACCTTCAGGAGCACCTTTGCCCACACATTCCGCCTCTCCAGCTAAGATCCTCTGGGGATAATCTTCTGAAGTCTGCTTCTGTAAGATTAATGTCAACTACCCAGAGGACCTTCTCAGAGGTTGCCCCTAAACTGTGAAATGGTCTGCTGGGAGAGAGGCATCAGATATCCGATTGCCGCCTGCCTGCCTGCCTGCCTGCCTGCCTGCCTGCCTGCCTGCCTGCCTGCCTGCTTTTGTATACCATTCAGTCAGCCATAGGTTCTTTGAACAGTGAGAATTCAATACGCATCTCTCTGACAGGCCTTCCCAGATTAGTTTTATTAAGTATGCTAGCTTCAACAAATATGCTATTGTTGATTTTAATCTCTTGTAAACCACTGAGAGCCCGACAGAAGCAGAGCAGTGTATAAACATCAAAGAGAGAGAGAGAGAGAGAGAGAGAGAGAGAGAGAGAGAGAGAGAGAGAAGGCATTTTCTCCGTGAAGCTATGTGCACAGAATCCATGCCTGTGCAACTTATCCCAAGGTTCTTGCCACTGTCGGCCTGCGGGCGTTTGTATCTCTCAGAGCAGGCCTCCCAAGGCCAGGGCTCTCGCCAGTCCGGCAGGCAGCTTCTTTCCCTGCTCCCACCTCCTCTGCCACAGAGGAGAAAGCTAGAATCTCCAATCAGCACATGATCCGAGATAAGCGTTTTCCCCAACAGCCTGAAAAAGACTGAGCAATTTGAGTGACCCCCTACAATGGAATTGCATTTGCTGAGAAACAGGAGGCCACAACTGGAGGTGGGCACTCCTGCTTTTCTTTCCCTCTGTGGATGGATTCCTCCCTGCCAAGAGCACCCTTTCACCTGGTACACGGAAAGCGGCACCTCTCAGCCCCCGCTGGAGCTGCTTATATGCCGCACCTGCACTCTGCCATGTCCCTACCTTGTTAGTGCAGCCAAACCCGGCTCCCAGAGCTGCCAGCATCTGAACCACTCCCTTGCCATGGTTACACTTCAGGGCGTAGAAGGGCTTGATCCGGGGCAAGGCCTTGAGAAGGCGCAGGTGTTTCTTCACCACGGCCTCTAGATCTGCCACAAAAAAGGGCTTGCGGCTACCCTGGAGATGAGGAAGAACAGGTAGAAATTCTGTCTCGGGGGCAACACATCCAAACTCTTTATTAATGTAACCTTAAATCCGCTATTCAGATGTCTCTCAGTGCAATCCAAAAGCATTGTGCAGGTATTCCAACTCTACCTTCTTAAAGGATATTTTGCTGCAAGTGGAAAAACGGAAGACACAGCAGGAAAGCACAGGCGGCTTGCTAGTGGAAGAAGACCCAGCTCCCTGGGCCCTCAGGACAGGGTCTGTGCTTGAGGCTGGGCAATGCCACCACCAAAACTTGGGCTAGAAGCACAACAGGTCCCTCACCTTCTGCAGGACAGCTGCGGATTGCTTCTAGATGAGGCCTTCATCGTGCCATTGCCCTGCCTCATTCACAACATTTTACCAGCGGTCCAGCATCAGCATCCATCTGTGACTCCCTTGTGGTTTCTTATGCTTCTTCCATCTTTTTCCTTACCAGCAAATATCCATTGCAGAAACAAGATCTCCACTGGTAAGCACCAGTTGTCATCAAATCATTGCCCTCCTATATTTTCTCCGTACTACTGCTACCCTTTTTTCAGGCTGCAGAAACACCCCCCCCGCTATTATCAGTCTAACCAGTGCTTGTTGTGATGTGCCGTCAAGTCATCTCCGACTTATGGTGACCCTACGCGCAAAAGCCCTCCAAAATGTCCCATCCATGCTAGCCCTGCTCAGCGCTTCCAAATCCAAGGCTGAGGCTTCTGCTCTGGAATTTAGCCACTCCTCCTTGTCTTCTTCTGCCTTCAACTTCCCAAGGAGTTTTGCCTTCTCATGATGAGAATTTTAGCTACGTAATTTTTAAAAATTGTTCAGTTTGGGCCTCTTTGTCTATGATACATTCACATTAGTACTTAACAATAAAGGATTAAGACCTTTAAATAACTAATAATAAAGGCCTTTAAACCACACATTTGAAAAAATGTAATAGAACAAGCTTCCATTCTACTTTTGACAGTCAGAGCCTTTTTATCAGTGGGTTTATCGGAGGGGGAATATAAAATGTATTTAAGCTAGCACTTAAACTTTAAGAGCATCTCCTGCTTTACACGCGTGTAAACCTTCATTTTAAATACCGAGAAGAACAAAAGCATTAAAATGGCAAAGCCCTGTCGAAGTGCCCCTCCCCTACCTGCAGGGCTGCGCCATCCGGCCCACTAGTGTGAGGGCAACCCCATGGGGAGGGGGCGCAGGCCTCCACAGAACACTCTCCCCAGAGCACAGGGAGCCACGCAGCCACTCTCTGCCTCTTACCGGCTGGGCAGCATCGAGGAGGAGGTTTTCCAGGAGGTCCCTGGTGGTGAAGCCCTCCTCCACCATCATGATGTCCGATTCGTCCAAGCACCTGGCCATTGTTAGCACTGAAGGAGGACAGCACTTCGGAAAGCCTCTGTCAGCAGGGGGTGTCGTTTTTAAGTATGCAACGCGCTGTGGAGGGAAAGCAGCACAGCCCTCAGTCCAGGGGGAGATGCGTGGCAGCACTGCACCCCCTTCCCCGGGAGGCGGCTGAGGCCCCACCGGTGCGGCCACACCAGGGACAGGCTGGACCTGCACACGGCGGGCCTGTCCTGAGCGGAGCCGGCTGGTGCGGGGCTCAGACTAGATGGCCCGGGAGGCCCCTTCTGACTCGCTCTGCTTCTGTGGTTCCCTTTCCCATGTGTCCCAGGTTGCCCGCATCTCCTTCCTAGTGCCTTTCCTCTTCCTGAACACCAGCCTTTTGGAGCCCTACAATTACGTTGGTTAAACGTGATCATTTGCCATTCTCTCTAGGCCTCCAGATACTTCTCCCGCTGTGGGAGTCATTCTGGTGGTCCAGTGGAGCAGGAGGAAAGCACCAGGACCTTTTGAGGAGTGGGGCCATGATGTCATATGCTCCCACCCCCAAGTTTCCCCACTCCCTCTCAGTCTAGCAGCAATCATCACAGCAGCTGGGGAGGAGGAGCCCCCCAACAAAAATGCATCGTTGTAAAGTGAGCTGCCCAATGTGCGCGTGTTTAATATGGAGAGGGAGTGGGAGAGATGGTGTGATGGAGGGATCAGTGCCACTACCTGCCTTACCTGAATGCTCCCTGAGGGTGAGGCTGTGGGGCTGTCATGAGGAGGGCCGCCCCTCAGCATTTCATCAGCTCTCCACTGATGAAAACAAGGGCAAATATTTGCATTTCATGTGGGCTCACAACTCTGCAGGCTTACATCGCTTTGGCCCTCTGGTGTAAGCCAAAGAGCGGCTTGGGCTGGCTGTCTCAACATAAAACAGCCCTCCGTGTTCACCCACAGCGATGCCGCCTTTGCTTACCGCAGGCCCAGGCGCCACCTGTTCCAAGATTTGCCTGATGATTTCAAAAAGCCTGCGTGCTTATTCTTGTCATTATTTCTTCTTGTCAGTATTTCGCTTCACTTTGCTTCAGGTACATCAACGCATGTGGCTTTTTACAGAATCTAAGAGGTGGGAGTGTGTAATGGGAGAATTGTCGAGGTGAAGAGGGCTCCATGTGCTATCTGCAAGGACCCCTGCAGCTATCCTGCCTTTTCTTTCTTAACGGAAGTCCACAATAAGGTGGAAGAAAAAGTGGGGAAATAGTGGGATGAGGAGCGGAGGACCAGATTGTCTGGGCCTCAGTCAGATGCCATACATGAGGCAGGGCAGTGGTGCCACCAAAGCCTTGCTGGAAGCATGTCTGGGCACGCCAGCTAGTGGGCAGGACAAGGGGTTACAGCAAAGGCTTCCTAGAAATGGGAGCAGCAAAAGACGGAGTTGTGCTCCCGAGTGCATCTCCACTGACTGGTCAGCCGCTGTTCCGCCTCACGCCAGCCAGCGGGCCCAGTGTCCTCCGCGGCACAGGCAAAGTTATGGATCTGCTCCAGACAAGGATGCCTCCCGGTGCCAACCCACGCCCACCTCTCCCCCGTCTCTCTGCACTGGGCTGGGCCGGAAGGCTGCACCCACATACCTGGGAGCAAGGCCCGCTAGACCCAGCCAGACTTTTTGGTAAAGGTACCGGACCATGCGGTCAATATTGCAGGTCCAGTAAGAACCATGTACACTGACTTCAGCTCCTTGGAGGTTGGAAAAACAGCCAGTAACCAGAATATGGAGATACCCACACCCATGTAGGAGCTTTCAGGAAAGGATCAAGGCCATCAAGGAGGGTCACAGCCCAGGAGTGGCACATATGCCTTAAAGAAGGTCCTCAGTCCAATTCCCACACATCCTGCTCATCTCAGAGTCCTCCTGCCTGACCATTACATAGAAACATAGCGAGTCAGAAGGGGCCTCCCAGGCCATCTAGCTGACCCCCAGCTCCACACATGACACGCCTGCCATTTGCATGTCCAGCCTATCCTTGAACACCCTCACCCTCACCCTCATTCTGCTTTGCAAGACTGCCTGACCAGCCTCCTCTTCTGGACTCTTTAACATTCTCCCCCATTAATCAGCCCCTTCTAACCTGCAAGAAATGGCCCTTTCTGGGTCTCCTCCACATGCACCCCGACTATTCCTCTTTCCCAGGGACTTACCCCACCTCTGCCCCAACGGTTGCATTCAGGAGATGCTCTTGCAGTTCTTTAGCACTAGCTGTGAAGTGCCAACTAGAACAGGGGTGTGCAAACTTTTCAGCCCCAAGGGCTACACACAATGCTGGCTCAGGGGTGAGGAGGGGGGGCTACATATGTCTGTCCATCCCAGTGATCCTGAAGATCACTCTTTCCTTGCTGCTAGTACCCTCAATTCCCTCCTCTGATGACCCTGAGAGCAGTTGGTGGCTGCTGTTACCAGTGAGGAAAGAGCTGTGTGTGTTCAGACACTGAGGAAAGGAATTCTGAACTGATGTGTAGAGGATCAGGGCAATCTTGGGGGCTGCAGATAAGCCCCTGGGGGCCAAATGCGGCCTGCAAGCCAGGCCACACGCTGCCCACCCTCGCTCTAGAAGGGCAATGGGGAAGATTGTGTCTTGTCTTTTGTACACAAGCATGAACACGAAGGTGTTCTGTCTGCCCTTCCTCATGAGGCTCATTTTGAACAGCTGATGGTATGTTCTAGGATAATGCAATTGTTTTGGACTTTAGCACTCTAAAATCTAAAAACAAAATCATATCTAAATCTAAAAATTCTGGTGCTAAAATCATATCACCAGAATCAGGCTGCTGTTATGAAGCTGATTCTTTTTGACTACTTGAAAACAAAACGCCAGTGCATCGCTTCTCCTTGATGCCTACAAAGATGTTAAATGTATTTGTGCATTGCCTGTAAGATTAAACAATCTATTGCAGTTTCTTATATCAAAAGAAAAGGCTTGGGCTGTGTTTTTGGCATCCTTGTGGGACCAAATGCGAAAGGAATGCAATAGATGGCAGGCAGAGAAGAGTTTCTAGCATCATAATATATGTTGGTGGTGGAGCCAGGTGTTTTGGCAGGGACCTTGGCCCAAGATGTCTACTTGCCTTTTGAAATATTGGGTGGGACATGTTTGCATCCACTGGAGTGACTACAGTAAAAATGCACATCGCAAGTGGCCACCCCAGTGTACTTTTTCCAGAAAAGATCTGTAAACAAGAAAGTTAGATTCCCAACGTATTTTGACCAAGCAACTATCCAGAAAAAATAAAAAACTAACTGCATGGGCAGTTCTAACACTTGCTTTTCTTGTAGTGGCCACAGAACACTTGTGGTCAGAGAGAGCTGGCTGGCTGGCTGGCTGCTGGCTGGCCCTCCAGGTAGGCCACTAACTGCAAGGAGAGGCTGCTCTTCTCAGGAGGCGAGCTAGGGAAGCCTTTGCCTTAGAAAGGGAAATCCGTGCTGATGCTCACAGGTTCCAGTCTCCACAAAAGTTTGCACATCAGTCCACATGCAAAGTCAAGAAGCTGAAAAAAGGCGCTGCTGCACAGGAGGCAGCGGAATATGCCAGAAGAAGGTGTAAGTCCATCCTCTTGCTGAGAGAACGGGCAAGAGAATGGCAAGGAAGGAAGCCTCCCTGGCCCAGGCCGTTGCCAGATGCCACAGAGCCAAAATCTAATCCTCATAGCCAGAACTGATTCATCCACTCCCAGGCTGGCTTCACAATCACATGCAGGAATGCCCTATTCCCTGGTTACCCCCAAGCACTGAAAAAAAATCTGTCTGAGAAGGAGAGCACTAATCAGGTCAAAGGCATCTCAGAAGGTGCTTGTGCATGTATGCTTTTTGAAACACAAACCTCTGATCTCTCTCCTCCCTAGAAAACCACAAGGTCCCCAACCATCTTGGCTGTCCAGCTGCAGGGAGCTTTCCCGCCTTGTCTCCTGATGGATTTGAAAGCAAACATGCCTTGCACAATCTCTGAAGCCATCAGGTGGTACTTACAGTCAAGGTGGTTAAGGAGTCCTGGAGTTTTCATTGCCCTTTAAAGGTGCATGGATAAAATAGACTGTATGAAATTAGTATTTCAAAAGGTTTCAATCAGGTGTAAGTCACATTTTTGCATACATACCAACATCTCTCTCTCTCATATAAAAGAGAGGGAAAGGGGGTTTAAACACACCATGCCCTTCATACTGAGGAAGCATGCTCCCCTCCTCCATCCATTCAATTTCCACCAAATCAGGCCTCACCAGGTCCCGAAGCCTTCCTCCTTCCTGGATGGCTAGCTGTAATGCCAGGGGGGTTCTCCAGTGAACTCTGAGCTTTTGCAACACCCCGAGGCGCAGTTGCTGCTGGGGATCCGAGATCTCTGCAAGGGGAGGATATTTTGGGGAGGGAGAGATCGACTTGGTTACCGTGATGCTCAGGCAGACAGGCGTGGAAGTCCTCTCCTACCCATCCTTTCCCCCACCGCACATCTCCGCTTCACCACGCACCCCCCTCCCATGTCACTACCCAGTTTTCCCCTCTACCCACCTTAAAAAGCATTTAAACGGATTTTGCCCATGGGTCTCCCAAGAGTAAATATAGGCTTCGGCAGTGGCTCCTCCTCCTCCTCCCCCCACTCCAAAGCCTACACCATGCAAAGCAGCTAATCTTAGACACAGAAGGAATGCCGCTCACTTATATATAGGCAGCTCCCTCCCCCCTCCCTCCCTCTCCCATCTCTGCTCACAAGAGTCACCTTGGCAACCAAACATAGCCATCTGATTGGCTGAGGAAGATCAAACAAAGCTCAAACATTCCATCCTCCCTGCTCCCTCCCCTCCCTGCTTGCATCTTCTGTCCACAGGTGCAGCTCCAGGTTTCCAACCAAGACTGGGAGTCAAATTCCACAGTCTGGGAAGGGAAGGGACAGGGCAGCTGCAGGATGCTTGTGCATGGGAATATTGTTTTCCCAACAAACAGAATTGAACAACATTTGCACAAATGACTGTGTTGCATAATCCATCCACTGCTGCTCACCTACATGACAGGAATGATCCAAAGATCAAAAGGTTCGATGCAGCAGCCGCTGTGGGCAACTGGCCTTGTGTCAAGCCTGCTTCTTTTGGGGCTCTCATGAGCTGTATGTGCTTGCAAAAATGGCAATAGGTTCTTTTCTCCCCACCCCAAGCTTCAGCAACGAGGATTTGATGTCAATCATTTCCACACTGGACTGAAGAAGGCCCTGCTGCTGCTGACAAACCTGCAATTTGGGGCCAGCAAAACATGCCCACCCAGGCACTCGAGCATCACCGACTTCAGCAGCCCCTTGTGCTCACTAGAGAAATGTCTCCAGAATGTCAGGTTATGTGAGTCGCAAAGATGTGCCCGACCCATCACGCTCCCATGGACAACATTCCTCCAGGCTCTCCTATCCTCCACCATCCCCTGGAGTCCACCTAAGCGCACGCCAACTGCTTCAGTGACTCCATCTAGTCACCTCATTCCCTGCCGTCCCCTTCTTCTTTTGCCATCAATTGTTTCCAGCATTAGGCTCTTCTCCAGGGAGTCCTTCCTTCTCATTAGATGGCCAAAGTATTTGAGTTTCATCTTCACTATCTGGCCTTCTAGAGAGCAGTCAGGGTTGATCTCCTCTAGGACTGACTGGTTTGATCGCCTCACAGGAGTCTCTTCCAGCACCACAATTCAAAGGCCTCAATCCTTTTGTGCTCAGCCTTCCTTATGATCCAGCTTTCACAGCCATACATTGCAACTGCGCTCTCCAGAATGATAGATCTCCAAAAACAGTTACTCTTGGGGGGAACAGACTTGTCTTTATCCAGGAGCTGCCACCTGAGGATGCCTGTGTGGAAAAGGGCAGGCACTAAGGTCATGCCGGAAGCGGCAAAAAGGGAATTTCTGATCATCTAACCCCAGGGGGACAACTCAGCACCCTCCGGATGTTGGCGTGCCTTGGGGAGGAAGGGCTTGCCCCACTGCAGGTGTGCCCAAGCAACAAGGAGCAGGGAAGGCTGCTTTGTGCATACAATAAGGCATGCAGCCAGAGCAAGGCAGTGGTTGGCGTGCTGGCCTGAAGTCTAGACCTGGGTTCGAGTCCTCGCTGGGCTACAGAGCTCACTGTGTCACGGACCCCCAGCCTGACCTGCCCCACGGGGTTGTTGTGAGGGAAAATGTACTGGCGGAGAAGGAGGGTTATGTCAGCGGCTTTGACAAGGCAGGATAAACGTGTGACCAGCACAGAGTCCTGAAGACGCGAAACTCTGCAACCTTCCCCTCAGCGCGCGCAGATGGACCGGGCAGACGATCAGGGACGCCAACTCGGACCTCGCCCCGGAAGGGTAGCAGCCGCCCTACCCTGCCGAGCGCCGCCTCACGCATGCGCGGCGGCCTCCTTCCGCCCCGAAGGACACGTCAGAGCCGATCCCGCGCGCGGCCATTGGTCAGCAGGCACGCTCGTCAGCGCCGGAAGCTTCCGCGTGTGCTGCGGGCGGGCACGCGCTTGGCTGTTCGCGGCGATGGCTCCCAAGGTGGAACGCGAGGAAGGAACTCTCGGCCGCGGGGTCCGGAAGGGCGTCCGGGCCGTGCTGCTGGGGCCGCCCGGGGCGGGCAAGGGGACCCAGGTGAGGGACCCGGGAGTCCGAGAAGGGGCGCCCTTTCCCTTCTCTCCCCGCTCGGAGGGACCCGGGCGTCCTTGCCTGAACATGGGCCGAGCCTTCCTCTTCCCGCCTCTCACGCTTTGCGAAGGAACCCAGGAGTCCGGGATTCGCAGGGTGCGCAGGAGCCCGGAGTGCGCGCCTGAGTGAACTCGAGTTGCTCCTCCGTCCCCCAAGAAATCGGCGGGGGGGTGCCGAGTTTGTTTAGGGCACGGTCCGGAGGGCCGGGCGGGGAGGTGGCGGGGGCGCTGGGATGGGGATCCGGGAGATGCGGGCCCTCGTCCCCGCTCTGCCACGGCGCTCACGGGGTGCCTCTGGGCCAGTCGCGGACTCTCAGTCCAACCCGCCTCACAGGGTGGTTGTTTTGAGGGTAAGATTGAGAGGCAGGGGATAATTATGCAAGATGTTTCGAGTTTCTTGAAAGGGAAGAAAGGTGGGGTCTAAATGTAATGAATAGACATAATTAAAATCTGATGCATGATAGGACAGCAAAAAGTCCAATGTCTCTCAAGCTGACTGGGCATACTGGGGCTTGTGGGTCTCATTTCTGTCTAAATGTGCATCTGATTGTCCCCTAAGATCATGTGGACAGTGGCCGTGTTGTCCTTCTGGGTTTACTCTTCTCTGTTCCCCCCGCCCCCACCTCCACCGAAGGACATGCCTGCAGGTATGGGGTGTTCTTTCCCCTTCTTCGATCCTTCCCACAGTTTTTTACTTTCCCTGCAGAGTCTTGAGGGGTCTCTGGCCTGTCCCTCATGCAAATGCAGTGCTCCCAAGTAGTCCAAGCTGTCGGGTACTCAGATCCATCTGTCTGTGTGCAGAAGGTCCCAGACTCTAGCTCTGGTGTGGGCCATAAATGAGCTTTAAATAGCTGCTTTGGGAAGTACTTCTGGCCTGGATGAACCAGTGGCTCTGCTTGGGGCAGAAGGAAGATGTCAACCTACAAGTAGATCTCTGGGTGCTTTGTGGCATCAGGCAGTTGATGGTAACAGCAGCAAAGTGAGTCTAACCCTGCTAGATGTTACTGTTGAATTGAAAAAAGCCTGAGCTCTGTGAAGTTTTTGTATGTCACAGGAGCTCTCTGAACTCCATTTTGTTCTGGTAGTTAAAATACATTCCTGGCTCAGCATTCTTTCAGTTTTAAGTATACATCTTTTGCACCAGGCTGTGACTGATGGATCTCACGGTTTGAGTAAAAATGGTAGTTCCAAAATGGCAGATGTACATTTTATGTGTCCTTGTGTCTTTCTTGCGTTTTCCAACATGGAACTGGTAGTCTTGGTAGGAAATGCATGATGTGTATAGAAGCCTTGGAACTGGTGTTGGATAAAACCATGGTAGCTGGGGAAAGAGGAATCCTCTTGCCCAGACCCTTGACAGAAATGGAAAGTTTTTGTAAGGAACCATGTCTTCATGAAGTGTTTTTGCTTGCCCCCTTTCCTTGGAGGGCAAGGTGGGTGCATCAGCCACAGATGTTGAACACCTGTAAGCGGTTGCTGTCAAAATCAGGCCTTCAAAAACCACAAAATGCTTGTCAGTAGGAAAATTCCCCAACCCCCACTCTTTCCCACCTTTGCTTTGGACCAACTATGCTGGCATTGGCTTTGTTCCATGGCAAGCTGCTTGCCCTTTGTACTGTACAGGTAGGACAGATTTGTAGGTCTGAAATTGACTCTCAAGTTTTTAAAATAACTACTGCTTGCTTGCAAAACTGGCTTCTCTGCAGGTTTAAGTGCAGTGCCCGTTGGTATCTTAGCCTTACAGCGATTCCAAAACTGTGGGCTAGAGCACGGCCATGAGGGAATGGCTAGGCTGGTGCAAGAAGAAAACAAATTAAATCAGAGAGCTCTCATGAAGGTATTCTTAATGGAGACTGCCCTCCAAGCCTCTGTGTGTGTTACTGCTTTGCCTTTGCTGTCCTGGAACAGGAGGGATGTTTTGCCTCCTGCCTGTGCTGGCTGCCATTGTTGATGTTCGGGCTTCTTCCAGTCATTCCTGAAAATAACAGGGATGGGAGGAAAGTCTGTCTCAGCTGTTCAAATTTTGGGGAATGCTGTGCTATTTCCTAATTGTGTGGGGAAAGTTGAAATGTGGAGGAATCCTAAGATATACAACTTCTTCAGAGCCACTCCAGAACCATCTTTGGCTTTCCTTGCTTGCTTCTTGACTACCACCAGATTCCTCTTGTCATTCTCTTTTCCATTCTCAGTTCTGCCAAATTCTTACCCACCTGTTGAAGATTAAGCTCTCTGGCTATGGGGGACTACAGAATGCAGCACAGTGGTGCAAAATATTTTATTCAATACATTTCAAGATAGTTAGAACTTCTGTATGAACTACCTATTCAGAAAAGTTTAGTTGGATCAATTTTTAAAACTTTCTTAAATGCTGGCGCTGAAGATGTAAAATGCAAAGCAGCATGAAGGGAGTTTTTCACAATCAAAAGGCCATCACTGAGAAACCCTGTCCCTTGTGGATGCCAATACAGCAGTTCAGACTGGTGGGTGTATAAGCAGAACCTTCACAATGACTTAACATAGAAACAGCAAGTCAGAAGGGTCCTCCTGGGCCATCTAGTCTGACCCCCAGCTCCAGCCGGCTCCACTCATGACTGGCCTGAGGGACTGATAAGGCCACGCTCAGCCACTGCAAACCCTTTTGGCTCTTGCCTCTTGGCAGAGCAGCAGAGGCACAGGCTGGGGTAGAGTGCTGAGTGGCCAGGGGCCTGGCGAAGGCAAGGTAGGGGCTGGGCAGGGGAGCAGCGGAGAGGAAGGGGCGGGGCCAGAGAGGCCAGGAGGGAGCAGGGGGCGGGGCCACCGGCCTGAGGGGCTGATAAGGCCGTGTTTGGCCACTGCAAGCCCTCTTGGCTCTGGCCTCTTGATGTCGTCCCTTGTCTGCATCCCTTGTCTTGTCTGTGTCCCTTAGCTGTGGCCCGGGCTGCCCAGGGACTCCCCTCGGAGGCTGAGGGGGGGGGGTTTGGTTTGGTTTTATTGTTTGTTTTTTGTTTGTTTGTTTTAATTGCTTTGTTTTTCTTTGTTTTTGTTCTGTGCTGTTCTGTGCTTTGCTTTCCTTTGTTTTTTTTCCAATTTAAATTTTATTTTATGTTACTGTCTGCTGCAACAGCTGCAACATGTTCGCCCTTCTCCCCCGGGAGAGGCAGGGCTACACTTGCCCTTGTGCAAGCGGGTGGTCCTGCTAGAGGAGGAGCTGAGGTGCCTGAGGGCCGAGAGAGCTCTCCAGGCCCCCCGGGAGCAGCCCCCCTCCGGGCAAAGGGTTGAGGGGGGCCATGGGAGGAGCAGCCGGGGAGACATGGAGGCATGTCACCAATCTGGATCTGGGAAACAGGTTCTCTCCGCTTGGGGAGGCAGGGGCTGATGAGGCCTCGGGGGACCAGCAGGACCCCCAGCCTGGGACCACAAGCGGCAAGGGGGCTGCTGCAGGAGAGGCGAGGGCCAGGACCACCACCAGGAATACATGGCGGCGGGTGATTGTCGTTGGGGACTCCCTGCTGAGGGGCACTGAGGCGGCAGTGTGCCGCCCCAGCCTTGAGGCAAGGGGGTCTGCTGCCTGCTGGGCACACGCATCCAGCATGTGAAGGACAGAGTGGAGCGTCTCGTTCGCTCCGGGGGTCACCAGCCGCTCCTGGTGATCCATGTGGGCACAAATGACGTGGCCAGGCAGGGTGTGGTTGGGACCACCAGGGACTTGGAGGCCTTGGGGAAGAAACTCAGGGAGCTAAAGGCCCAAGTGGCCTTCT